TCTACTTATTTATTTGAGAGACAGATAGACGGAAAGAGACTTAGATAGACAAACCAGACAGAGTTCCTGTCTGCTAGTTCACTCCCCCAAGCCCCAAAACTGAGAGCCAGGAGCTTAATCTAGGTTTCCCAGGTGTGTGGCAGGGAGCCAATCACTTGAGCCCTCACTGCTGCCTACCAGAATCTGCATTAGCAGGCAGCTGGGATTAGAAGCTGGAGCTGGGTGTCAAACCCAAGTACTCCAAAATGGGGTGTGGGATCTTAAACACGAAGCTAAATGCCTGCCCCTAGCAATAGTTTTTAAGCTTTTAAGTCTTCACTCTTCCCGCATGTTTGTCCCTGTTTCTTTTGTCTCTCTGAAGCTGCTGGCCAAGGTTGACATCCAATGAGCATTAGTAGTCATTGTAACCTACACAGAGCCTTCCTACAACAGTATAGTATTGCTGAACAGCTGCCACCTCCTGGACAGTTACCTGTTTCGTCTTGTCCTGCTCTGCTTTCGGAATATATGCAACATAATTTGCATGCATCTTACTGGTTAGCAGCATATGTGGAAAATTACACTTTATTGAATATTTAGTACGTGGTGCAGGCCTGTGTTCCTGCCTTAAATTATGCCTCCAGTTCACAAGCATGTGGTGAATAGGAATCATGGAAAATGGTTTACATTCTAAAGTATTTAATTGACTGAGATTGTGGCATTTTTAATCAATGTACTTCAACTATTTGGTACCTATTTAGCATCTAGCAGAGTATCTTGTATGAGAGCTAATTTAAAATACGTAGGTTGAATAAAACTCTCTGAAAACTTAGTAAACAGCCGGTGCCGCGGCTCACTAGGCTAATCCTCCACCTTGTGGCGCCAGCACACCGGGTTCTAGTCCCGGTTGGGGCGCCAGATTCTGTCCCGGTTGCCTCTCTTCCAGGTCAGCTCTCTGCTGTGGCCAGGGAGTGCAGTGGAGGATGGCCCAAGTGCTTGGGCCCTGCACCCCATGGGAGACCAGGAGAAGCACCTGGCTCCTGCCTTCGGATCAGCGCGGTGCGCCAGCCGCAGAGCGCTGGCCGTGGCAGCCATTGGAGGGTGAACCAACGGCAAAGGAAGACCTTTCTGTCTCTCTCTCTCACTGTCCACTCTGCCTGTCAAAAAAAAAAAAAAAAGAAAACTTAGTAAACTTAATTGAATTCCCTTGTTCTTACCAATATAGCCTCTGTGAGTCTGATTCCATGCAGGATTTTAGTTTAATAAGCACCACAGGTGATTCTCATGCAGATCGCCTGTGAATCATGCTTTAAAAAAACTAATGCAAACCAATATTTCAGCAATTTCACCCTAACCAAAAGCAATGAATATTCTACTCTGTTTTCTCTCTTAAATCCTAACAAAATAAGTGAAAAGGAGGCATCTAGCAGAAATTCTGCAAGTCAAACCTTTTTACTATGTCCAGGTGTTCTGGATAGGGGAATAAGGGAATACTCACAGAGGCAATAAATGATGACACAAAACAGTCCTTGACCTACCCCATGCACCAGCTACTACTCCATGCTGCAGGGCATCCATGAAAATTTCTTCTTTAGTCTGAACATTAGGTTACACCAAATGACTTTAAAAGTAATGAATATGGCTAAAAGCCATGTCACAGTAAAATTCCTCCATAAAATAATATTTATGCTGTTTGAACATTTCAGTGGCTCCCTTGATTTTGCTGCAGTGGGAGGCTTAGAGACAGATGAGGAGAGATCTTCCTGAAAAGTAAGATTAGATCTCACTTTTAGGATTTCAGTCCTCTACCCAGAAGTACAAAACTAGAGGAGAGGAAATAACAAAGTATACAAATGATCCTCCCAACACACATACAAATGCAAAATTTTAAAAAAGCACACACATGTAGCTGACTTACTCTTTACTAAACTTTCCCATCATTAGCTGGACAGTTCGTCCCTTACACATTAAGGTGCCTGGCTCTGCATGTTATCTTCTCAGCAACACTATCAGCTCATGGTACCATTTAGTTTTTGCCTCCCAGGCTCACTGTTGAACATTTTATTTCCTTTCCTGTAATGTTTAGCTGAAGGTTTACTTCTCTCCCCTTGCACACAGAAATACTGTTGTTTCCTCTGTAGAATATTCACCTTGTCTAGTTCAGGAGGAGTACATGTATCTGTGCCACCCGCCTCGCCTTCTGGATTCGCAATACACTTGCTGATGGAGCAGACACTGTGGCATAGATACTGGCATCCCATACCAGAGTGCCTGACTTGAGTCCCAGCTACTCTGCTTCTGATCCAGCCTCTGATAATGCACCTGGGAAGGTAGCAGATGACAGCCAAAATACTTGGTCTCTCCCACCCATGTTAGAGACCCAGATGAAGTTCCTGACTCCTGGTTTCTGCTTGGCCAACCCCTGCATGTTGCAGCCATTTGGGAAGAGAACTGCAGATGTAAGATTTCTTTCTTTCTCAGTCTCTCTCTCCCCATGTCTGACTCTGACTTTCAAATTAATAAAGCTTAAAAACATACTTCATGAGTTGAGGCCTGACAGACACTTTATAAATAATTAATTTGGATTTAGCAAATACGTAAGAGTTACTTGTTGAATTCTAAGACGTAAGTGCTTCTAAGTTGGTTTTCTTCAGGGAGTTAGAGAGGAGCCCTGGGTAAAGGAGAAAAAAGCAGTACAGTGAACACAGTGACAATAATGATGGTCACAGATGATTTTCAGGGGCCAGTATTGTGGCACAGTGGATTATACTGCTGCTTTCAACTCCAGTATCCCATATTGGAGTGCAGTTCAAGTCCTGCCTATTTCACTTCCTAAATAGCTGCCTGATAATGCACCTGGGAAGACAGTCCAAGTGCTTGGGTCCCTGCTACCTATATATGAGACACAGATGGCGTTCCAGCTCCTGGATTCAACCTGGTCCAGCTCTGCCTGTTCCAGCCATTTGTGGAATGAACCGGGAAATGGAAATTCTTTCTGTCTTGTGATCACTGTGTTTTAGAAAGAGAAAAAGAAAGGAGCAAAGAAAGAAAGGAAAAAGAAGGAAGGAAGGAAGGAAGGAATAAATTATCTTTAAAAAATGATTCTCATATTGGCCAATGAGTTTAAAATTGAGAAAAAATTATTCCTCATCATATCCTGCAGTCTAATCTTGGTCAGGTAGGAACCTAGTACATATGTGAATTCATTCATCCAACATATGGAGTGTCTACCGTTCTACATCATTGTATATAGGGAAAGAAGTAGACTCTTAAGAATTATATTTTACCATGATACAGGGGCCAAAGCAGGTTTATGCAATTATTGGTGATGGGAAGAGCTAAGCACAAACGAAGATATTCAGACATTACCTCTACTGTCTCCTACCTGCACCACCCCAAGGAAGCAGTAGGATGATAAACTTTGCTTTTTTAAAATGCAAATATTTGCTATTCTTTTCATTCATGTTTCTACAGTGAAAAAATAATTAAATGTGTACTCTACATCAATCTACAATGGAGAATTTATGCCAAAGAGAAGGGATATAGTGTGCTATGAATCAAAATACGTAACTTGTGTAATATTTCCTTTTTCTATCTCTGCATGACCTGCCTAACACAATGTGAATTCATCCAAATGTATTGACTGCTAGATTTCTACAGTCATGCACATGTAATCCTCACTGATCTTCATACAAGGAGAAAAGAAACACACACTCACCTACACATGCATGTATACAAACATGTAAGTTCAAATTTTATAGCAATGTGCTTTCGACATACAGATGTCTTCTGGTTAGAGGAGATATCTTAACTAAATCTGTAGGAAAAGTTATGTTTTTAGAAAATGGGAAATGGGCAATGAGTGAGCCAGGGCATTGCAAAAGGAGGGCATCCACCATGGATGAAGCAGATAAAAAATCTGCAGGTACAGGGAGATCAGTATTAGAATGTGATTGTGTGTCCTTTAAAACCATAGAAAGTCCTTAGGTAGGAGAATGCCATAATCTTATCTGTTCTTTTATAGCAATTTGAAGGGCGGAAGTGGGAAGAAATTGGAGGCACAAACACCACTGGAGCTGAGTGTTGCTGAGAGTTTGAATTGGGATACTGGTGTGAAGGGAATGGGGAATAGCAGAGGTAGGGTACACCTGATTCCCATGAATTGGGGGGGGGGGGGGTAGAAGCACAAGTTCACTCAGCAGAGTTCTTTTGCATGATCTGGAATTTTTTTTTTTTTTTTTTTGCCTGTATTGAACACTTACCATGTGCCAGGAATCGTGTGACGTGTTTTATAAGCATTAACGCATTAATTACTCACATCCGCCATGTCTTGACCTGCAGTGGAATATGTAGGAGGGAAGACAAGATGATTCATCATGTACTTGCTCATTATATGCCCAGTGCCCAGCCTTTGTACTCTGTTAAGAAGGTAATACAAGACTGCCCTGGGAAGGCATTAAATGTAGTATGAATGAATTATTTTGTGACTGAGGTTTTGTTTAAACTTTTCAGGAAGTTTGGTGCATATCAGCAACAAACAGGATATACTATGCAAAGAAGAGAGAAGAATCAAGTATTCTCAGTTTCAAGCCTAAGTAATTAACAAGGAGAGAACCACCTACACAGGAAACTCAATAGGATGTGAGTAGACGTGGTAGCACAGTAAGTTTAACTTTTACACAGTAAGTTTAAAGTGTTAGATGGTTAAAAGAGTTCTCACAGAAGAGCTGAATAAGAGCTCTTGGTCAATGTATACCTCATGCAACCTTTCTGGGCTTCCATTATTTAAAGGGTTCTAAGCACTTAGGAAGAACAGCATATTATTCTCAGGATGTTACCACATGGAGTGACCAGAGCAATGTCGGCCTCAAGATTTTACACTGGAGCCCAGGGAAAGAGATTAAGACAGAGACAAAAGGAGAAGTCTAGTCAAACTCAAAACGATTACAATCAAGATTGATGGAGCTGGCCCTCTTCCAGGTAAAATTAATATGACCATGTGTCAAAAAGTTCATAGAAAATTGAATTAAAAGATACATTTATTTCAGTGCAAAAATATCTTGGAATACAAGCATAATATATTCATAAAACATATTTCCATGAATTTTTTAATGTCCACTTCTATGTCTGATTAGGAGTTTTAACTGGCTTTTTAGAGAAGTCTCGATATTCACACTGATTGATGGGCCTTGAATGAGTAAGCTTCCTGAATACCAACAATGACAGACCTGGAAACTATTAGGACATTCCCCAAAGGGTGTGGCAGGAAAAAGACTGGTCAAGTTTCTGGGAGAGATGGACAGAAACATCATGGAAAGATGTCAGCTGCAGAGTGAAACCAAATCCATGAGGATTCCCAACCGAGACAGTCTCCTCCCCGAACAATACTAACAGTCAAGATACAGTGAGTGCTACTTCTGTACTGACACTTCTCATGAATTAATTGTTTTAAAGATTTATTTATTTATTTGAAAGGCAGAGTTACAGAGAGGAAGAGGCAGAGAGAGAGAGAGAGAGAGAGAGAGAGAGAAAATCTTCCATCCACTGGTTCACACCCCAATTGGCAGCAAAGGCTGGAGCTGGGCCGATCTGAAGCCAGGAGACAGGAGCCAGGAGCTTCTGTGCTCCCATGTGGGTGCAGGGACCCAAGGACTTGGGCCATCTTCTATTGTTTTTCCAGGCCATAGCAGAGCTGGAAATGGAGCAGCTGGGACTCGAACTGGCGCCGATATGGGACGCTGGCACTGCAGACATTTGCTTTACCTGCTACACCACAGCGCTGGCCCCATGAATTAACTCTGTAAAAATGATTTATTTATTTGAAAGGCAGAGTGACAAAGAAAGGGAGAGACAGAGAGAAAAAGAACTTCAATGCCACAATAGCAGGGTTTCGGCCAGGCTAAAATGAGGAGTCAGGAACTTCATCTAGGTTTCCTATGTGGATGGAAAGTAACCCAAGTACTTGTCCCATCATCTGCTGCTCTCCAGGCACATTAACAGGAAGCAGGGTCAGCAATGGAGAAGCTGGTATGCTGGCCACTCTGATATGAGATGCAGGCATCCCAAGCAATGGTGGAACCTGCTGTCACCCCGAATCAACTCTTTCAATTTCAAGAACAGTTCAGTCAAGCAGAGTCCTCCCCTCTCCTCAATACAAAAAAGGAAATTAGGCAGAGAAAGCTTAAGTGACTTCTCAAATCCCACAGCTAGTAAGGGGAGAGCTGAGATATGTACCAGGACATCTTACTCTGGAATCTTTGCCCTTAAAGTTACTATGGCAAATACCAAAAAGCCATAGAGTCCTAGGCAAGGGATCGCTAGTGTCTGCAGGACAGCTGGGTGAACGGTTGCAGAAAGGCTTGAGGGAGTCATCTTACACATACGTAAGTAGAGATTCTGCTTTCCATCCGATCTGAACCTATTACTTTCACGGTATTTCAAACTAGGCAGTCACTCAGCTAAGAGGTAGTACAGCAATCTTCACACTGTCCATTCTGAACAACTGGCTCTATAAGAACCAGTCAGCAGGTGATCTTTGGGAAGAGACATACTGTCAACTGACAAATGTTCCAAGGCCAAAGAAAAAATTATTTTCAGTATCTGATTTTCTTAATTTATTTTTTTAACATGAAAGAGGCTGCAGATGTAACTTATTTAAAATTAGCTGTTATTATTAGGAATGCCTTTAAGGGGGACCACTCTGCATGACTCTCATGTTACAAACCAGTTTTTAATCAAACATCTTACAACCAGCCTCAGAAAGGAGTTCCAATATCAGCCCCCATTTGAAGATGACAAAAACAGACATGGAAAAAGTACACAGTTTAACCAATATGCCATAGCATCGCAGTTGTTAGAACATTTACATAAATGCAGCGGTAACAACACACCAAAGATAGTTGCAAATCAAATTCCAAATTCTTAAAAAAAAAATGTCCCAGGATTCCAGAAAAGGATTTGCTTCTCTAAATAAGAAAAACACAATCCCTTAAACTTACACCAGAGCCATTATTAACAAATTCACACTAATTTTAAAAAACTACTTAACTTACTTTGTCATAGTAAAATATAAGAATCTTCATAATTTATTAAAACTTTGGGAAATTATATTTTAGACTCAGCAGTAATGTAGTATTGAAAAGATAAGCAGGTTATCAAATAATTATCCAATGTTAACTCTGAAAATTAATTGTTATAAGCCAACCTTCTAAATTAAAGACAGCCACATTATTAACAATCAGAAATACTAGAACAACTTTTAAACGGTCCATATCATTAGTTTACAGAGAAATTCACTCACTGATATAAGCCATGATAGCTCACCTAAAATTTGGTTGGCTGCTAATTTAGTTTTTAAAAACTTAAATATTTGGCCCATTTTTATATTTGTTAAAAACAATTTTAAAATATTTTTCAAAGTAACTTTACAAACACATAGATATGAGTAGGCATCTCATCTATGAAGTTATAAAACATGTACCCTATATAGCTTTCAACTGTATTTCAAAGCTTATTTCAAAACCATCACTATTTTGCATTTGTGAACTATATCCTTGCATGAAATATACAAACTGTAAATGTGCTATCGTTACTACATACCAGTTCTAATTAAGCCATTGTTTTGGTAATATACAATGCTGCATCTAATAAAGTATGACATCATTCTATAATTTCGCTACAAAATTAAAGATTCTTTGTTGAGGAACAAAAGAGCAATCACCAAGATATTCACAACAATAAAGTTAACAGTACATTGCTTTTTTTTTTTTAAAGGATGTGCTAAAAATAACCTCCCAAAAAAGAATAATTCACTTCAAAAGAGAAAATAATAAAGTAGACAGCCCTTAAAAATACTTGAGTTTCCCAACTTAAGTATAAAATTTAAAGACATAGAAAAGAGAAATAAAGAGAATAGGAAGAGAAAGATGGAGAGAGACCATCTGGCATTTTAAAGACAAAAATTTTGCAAGAATAAAAATACATTCTGAAAGCATTTTTGAGACTTAAATTTCACTGACCAAGTAGGTAATCGAGTAAGTGTAGATTCAGTGTAGGATTTTACATAGACTAAAACCTAAAACTAAACTACACCACAAAGGAATTGCAATAACAGTCGATGACTAGGTAGAAATCCCTCTTTGCATCATGAAGAGAGGTTATTACAAGATAAAGGAATGGCAATAATGCAAACTTTAGAATATATAAGAAAATAGTTTCCAAACACAATTAGCTAACAATCTTCTATTGAGTTATACTTCAAGTAGTCTATAACATAGACATGAGTCAATTGCACTTCATTGCACTCTAAATTTGCTATTGTCATTATACCCAAATGTAAACAATAATGCAGACTTCACTAATTTTTCTAGTTGTAGCACTCCTTGATGAAAACAATTAAAGGCCTGGTAAAAACTGAAAGATGAATATACTTCTTTATAAAGTCTCTGTAAATGCACTTGGCCAAAGAGATTCTATCAGAATAAAAGGAGAAAAGTCCCAAAGATAACATCTTCTACTTTTGAAAAAGTCCTTGTTTGTAACTAAAATAAAAACAACAACAATGTAATATTGTTACTTGGCTTTTGTAGACTTTCTAGAACACATTCATCTCTTTATGCATGTTTCTGCTAGTGTCCTAAATTTGGGCTCCAAATGATCCAAAAACTCAAGCCCATCTTCTTCTTGTCGTTCACTGCAACAACCAATAGAACCCGCTGTGGACCCTCTTCCCTCGTAGGTATACGTGAGGACATAGTCTTCACCACGCTTCTGAGCATCCTCCTGATTACACAGATGTACTTTCTGCCAAGGGAAGAAACACCACAGAGTTTATTATTATTATTTTAAACACCATAACTTACTAACATAGAAATAATGGCTTTGATTTACCTTTCATTGTTTAATTTTTAATCAGAGTGTGTCCTCTAATGGATTCCTATATATAAAAAATGCACATGATTGGTCTGTATCATAAATCACACTATAAATTCAGTCTATCGCATGTTCAAAAATTCATACTTGTGTATAATTCACAATCATACAAGTGTTCACTTTAAGTGATCATTACTTTCCAGAAATGCATCCACTGAACTGAACCCTGCATTAACATGGGTTCTGATCTTTCCAGGTAGGATCAGACTGTGTACACGGCTGGGGTCTGCCCCACACTTTCGGTTTCTCACTCACGAGTTTTCAGATGAGAAATATTATCACAAAGTCATGAAGGAATGATTTAAATGTCATCACACCTTATTTCAGTATGAGTACTAAGGAAATATATGGAAAAGTAAATAACCACTTAAATATGAACATAACTAAATCAAAATAAAGGAGAAATAACTTTTCAATCACTATGTTAAAAACTACTTGAAAATAAAGGATTAAATATATCCTACATTGTAATCACTCATAAAGTTTAAAGCAAATAAAAAGAGATTGGTGGGACACTGGGGGCAACTCACTTCACTGAGTCGGGGCTGAGTGAAGCTGTGCCACTCCGAGTAGGTGTATCTGCAGTTGTCCATCTCCACGTGTCCTCCCCTGGAGGAATCCAGGGTGTGGTGATGCCCGGCCCCCCGGTAGGAGTCCAAGGTCTGCTGTCCTTTCACCATCTCAATGGTCTCCTGCCCTCCACTTCTGACTCCTGATCCCACGGCGCCACTAACTCCCTGAGCAGAAGTGCCCACGGCATGGGTTGTGAAGCCATTTGTGGAATACTGAAATGAAAAGAGTTTGGATGAGGAAACAGGGAACAAAACATTATGAAAAAGAACAGCATCATTCTGATGATGCCAAGATTGTGTGTGTGTGTGTGTGTGTGTGTGCGCGTTAGAAGGTAAACTTTCAGAAGCTGGAAAACAAATCTGTCTTGTCAATGCTGAGTATCTAACCACCACAACCCCAGTATTTAATATAGCATCTGACACAAAAAAATACAAAATGCAGAAGTCAAGTGATTGGTATCTGGAGAGAAGTTAGAAAGCTTGATAAACTGTACTTCTTTAAAAGCTTCTTAAAATCCAGTGCAACTTCAGTTGTTACATCCTTCTAGCATCTCACACTTCAAAATTAGCACTTACTGTCTCACATATATTTATCCTGCTCAGTTAAAACTCATTAACCATTATTGTCTGGAGCAGAAACAGAAATCATGAATGGCTAGTTCAGTTCTCCTTCAACTCAAATAAAAAGAATAGAAACAAAGTTGCCATGAAAATCTTAGCTAGAATAACAAATCCTTGCAAGCTGAATAAATGGAAGTTACACAAGGAAAATAGGAAGAGACTGAAACTGATTTGATAGGTTGTGTTTTTGGAAACAATAGCACAGTTCAAGTTTTGTTTTGCCAAACTCTTCCTAGGCACAGTCATGCCATGGTTTACTAAACTTGTCCTGCCCTAAACATCCATGACACTTTATAGGGAACTGACCTGCTCCTCTGCCACATACTGGGCTAGAAAACAAAGGCAGAGCAACGCAGCCACTGCTGGAGTTGCTTTTCTAGATAGTCAGCCTCAGGCTTTCTCTAACCCACATCACAGCCAGAAAGAGCCCATTAAAGTTTTTCCCACAATGATCAAAGCTGGTGGTGATTTTATTGCTGTTACTGGAAAAAATTTTTAACGATTATGCTGGTGATCTGTGACTAATTAAATGCAACATTTTACAGCACAAACAGCAGTTTAAATATATGTGAAAGAACAGGCTTAAAGTCAAAATCATGAAACAGCTGAAGTAGAACATAATAAGGACACACTAAACAATTTTCACTATTAAGTAGCTCTCAGTGCTACTTAATACCCTATATCACAAAGGGAATCAAAGTAATTTTATCACTTGCCTGAGACTGATGACATTTTATGGTAAATTACCTGATATCAGAAATAACTTTGCAAAGAAAAGGTAATTTTCAAAGAAATAAAGAAATATACAATAAAGGCTAATACATCCTCTGTTATTTTATTTAATTTTTTAAAGATTTTATTTATTTATTTGAGATGCAGAGTTACAGACAGAAAGAGGGAAAGACAGAGAGGAAAGTCTTCCATCTGCTGGTTCAAAGCCTTAATGGCTGCAACGGCCCAAAGCTAGGCCTATCTGCAGGCAGGGACCAAGAGCTTCTTCCAGGTCTACCACATGGGTGCAGGGGTCTAAGCACTTGGGCCACTTTCCACTGCTTTCCCAGACAGAGAGCTGGATTGGAAGAGGAGCAACCGAGACTTGAACTGGCACCCATATTGGATGCAAGCACCTCTGATGTAGGCTTAGCCTACTAGGCCACAGTTCCAGCCCTTTTATTTTATTTTATTCCAGTTTAGTTTATTATTTTGAAAGGCAGAGAGACAGAGCCAGAGAAAGAGAACTCTCATTCAGTTGTTCACTCCCTAAATTTTCTTCAATGGTCTTGGCTGGGTCAGGTCAAAGCCAGAAGCCAAGGATCAATCCAGTTCTCCTACTTGGCTGGCAGAGGTCCAACGACATAAGCCAAAACTTGCTACATCCCAGGAAATAGATTAGCAGGAAGCTGTTACTGAGGGTGGAGCTGGAACTCAAGCTCAGTACTCGGATATGAGTAGTGAGCACCTTTTTTTTTTTATTTTTTTTTTTTTATTTTTTGACAGGCAGAGTGGACAGTGAGAGAGAGAGACAGAGAGAAAGGTCTTCCTTTGCCGTTGGTTCACCCTCCAATGGCCGCCGCGGCCGGCGCGCTGCAGCCGGCGCACCGCGCTGATCCGATGGCAGGAGCCAGGAGCCAGGTGCTTTTCCTGGTCTCCCATGGGGTGCAGGGCCCAAGCACCTGGGCCATCCTCCACTGCACTCCCGGGCCACAGCAGAGAGCTGGCCTGGAAGAGGGGCAACCGGGACAGAATCCGGCGCCCCAACTGGGACTAGAACCCAGTGTGCCGGCGCCGCTAGGTAGAGGATTAGCCTATTGAGCCGCGGCGCCAGCCCTAGTAATGAGCACCTTAACCACTGGGCCACATGCCCACTCCCTTCTGTGTTATTTTAAAGACTACTTACCACCACTTTGTCATCTCCAGGGGCTTCAGTGTTTGATACGATTAGGTTCTGCTGGGTTAAATCATCAGGTAGTACTTTTGGTTGCTTGGTTGCCACAGAAGCCCCACAAACTAATGTAAATAGGACACCTGGAGGAAGAAGACAGTTCCTTAAGTTTATCATAAAATAATTTAAAGTATGAATTGATAACATTACACAAATAATCATAAATTATAAATTAATAAATTAAATAAATAAATTAAATCATAATGGCTTTGTAGAGCACACAAATATAATTGCATGCATCAAGGCAGTATACAACAGAAAACATTGCCCTAAACAACTATGTCACAAATACATGCTGCTTGCTGCATTGAACTTTCTGTGCTGAGACGACCCTAGAACTATACATAAAAGCACCTAAACTATAAAAATTAACCATATTTGCATGTTAAATAGAAATACGGAAGTACAAATAAATCAATTCAAAATAACAGTGCTGATTCTTAGAATGTGTCTTGAAAATTACTTTAAAGACTTTATTTGAATTCAAGAAATGACTTACAAAATAGCAATGCTATGCCCAGCAATATTGCAAGGATGGCCCACTTTCCAAGTTTTACTTCCCCATTGCCAGTCCTTGCACCTGTGCGAAGTGTGCAATCATTTTCAGTAATGCAGTCACATAGCAAAACATTCAATGAAGTGACTTGAGACAGGCCCAGTCTATCTGTAACTCTAATGGGTACTACATATGGCCCAAATGGAGGATCATTCTGATAGGAAAGCCGCACTGCTGTGTCTGAAAGAAAATAAAAGCAGGCATTACACAGTGAAATTAGCTTCTCCTGAAAATAAATAACTGTTGGGTAGTTATCAACCTTCTCTACAACTGGACATTCCTGATGGGTTGGCACGATCACTAGTAGAAGGCAAATGCAAACTGACTGAGCAGGTCTCATCCACAGCTGTTGCAAATACATTGCACCCTGAAGTTTGTATATGCTGCCCCTTATATGGAGGTGTTTGTTCTCTTGTAAACATATATTTTATCTGTCCATAATTAAATCCTTCCTATTATAATCAGTAACTTTTAAAATTATTTGCCTATACATTAAAATATTTATTAAAATAGTCAATGTAGTTCCTTTTATATAATACTCATCAGAGAACAATAATTCTTTATGTTTTCCAATGCTTAAGAAACAAAAATAGTTGCATTGTCAAAGACTGATTCTGACAATGTGGAAGACGCCTGGACTTGCCCATACTGGCAGGTCTTGGGTCATGCTGCCCTAAGGGACACTGGACCCAGTGCATATTTTTTTTTCTCTTATGATGCATTTTTCTGATCAAGGACAGAAAATATCCAGACCAAAAGCCAACGCAATGTTAGGTTTAAAACCAGCGATATTAATGGTACTCTGCATGCAGATGCCACATATTAGAGAACAACCCTCTCTCACTTACCTACCTGGTGTGACACTCTCAATTTTTTGTATAACTCTGAATATACAAGTGAATTCCTGGACAAAGTAATCACTGAATTCATTCCATTTAAAGAGAAAACATGGTTAACCTGTTAAGTGTACTGTGTAAGAAATAATAATAATGAGACTAACAAACCAAAAACTTATGATTCATAATGTGTCATGGTCTATTTCATTATCTCACTTACTCTCCTCCCCCAAGAGACTCCATTTTACACATCAGTAAATTGATGTTCAAAGAGAAAAACCAGTATGGTCAGATTTGCATAACCAGTAAATGGTAGAGCCAGTGTTTAAGGCTGAGCCTATCTGACTTCAAAGTCTCTTGAAGCTAAATTCTTTTTTACTTGTTTCCCAAACTCTTGAATGATTAAACAGAACAATAAATCTTTTAAAATTAAATTTGTGACCAACATCTTAGTGCCACAGTTTTATTTTCCTAAGTAAGGCTATTAAAAAGAAATTACCACCCCCTGTCAATATTACTTAAAAAGAAATGATATTATGACACAAAATAGTAGCAAGGGCAAACATGTAAGAATAAGATTTGTATTTCTCAAGAAAGATCAATTAATCACACATATACACACAGTCATTAAAAACCCAGTTAAAGTCTTGTATATTCACAAAGCAGATTCAAGCCACAGTACTTCTTTTTCTGCCTAAAGGCCCTTGTTTTTCTTTCCCCATCCCATGCTCCCTTTCACAACCTCTCTTTTCTAATGTGTCACAATAGGACATGGAGGCAGATTCACTGAATCAGAGGATTGAAAAACATACAAGGGCGTTGAAAAGCGCTCTAGTCATGAAAACTGGTACTAGGCCTTGATGGTCCATGGGTAGTGTGAGCAGGAGGTGGAGAACGCTCCTCGAGTCAAGAGCTGTAGGGAGTGATGCAGTGATGGTGATGGAGAGAGGTCACCTTCACTTTTCACTACTGTCATCACCGTGCATCCTCTTGAGCGAAAGTCAAAAGTTCAGACTGGGAACCAAGCTGGGGGAGAACCCCAAAGAAACTATCACAGGCACGAAATGGTCAGAAGTTAACACTGTGGCAAGGAGGACGACATGGCAGACACTGGGGTATACACGAGATTCCCACCCCAGGAAAGAATTTCTTGTCCCAGCTGTTTGGGAGGCTCTCTGCAGTTTTAGTGGTTATGCTTTTTTGCCCTTATTCATGTTCCTGGGGGCTGCTGCAACCATGAACTGAAATGAGATGAGATAAAATAAGGGGACCAACCAACAGGGAACTACTTTCAAAGGTCATTTAGCTCAGATTCCATGCTCAGCAGAGACTGTCACTGGTCTGCACTTGTCCAATCCCTTCTAATCTTTTCATAGCTATTGATCCCAAGTAAATTCCTTAATAATATTTGCTTAAGATATTCTGTCCCGGGGCTGGCGCTGTGGCACAGTGGATTGAGGCCCTGGCCTGGAGCGCTGGCATCCCATGTGGGCGCTGGTTAAGAGTTTCGGCTGCTCCACTTCCCACCCAGCTCTCTGCTATGGCCTGGGAAAGTAGAAGATGGTCCAAGTCGTTGGGCCCCTGCACCTGCATGGGAGACTGGGAAGAAGCTCCTGGCTCCTGGCTTCAGATAGGTGCAGCTCTGACCATTGCAGCCACTTGGGGAGTGAAACATTGGATGGAAGACCTCCCTCTCTCTCTCTCTGCCTCTCCTTCTCTCACTGTGTAACTCTGACTTTCAAAAAAAAAAAAAAAAAAAAAAAAAAAAGATATTCTGTCCCAGGGCCAGTGCTGTGGCATGTAGAAGGTAAAGCCATCACCTATGATGCCAGCATCCCATATGGGCACTGGTTTGAGTCACAGCTGCTCCTTTTCCGATCCAGCTGCCTGCTAAAATGCCCAGGAATGCAGCAGTGGATGGCCCAAGTGCTTGAGCCCTTGCATCCACATGGGAGGCCTGGAAGAAGCTCCTCACTCCTGGCTATGGATTGGCCCAACTCAGGCCTTTGTGGCCATTTGGGGAGGGAACCAGCAGATGAAAGATCTCTCGCTATGTGTCTCCTCTTCTCCCCTCTCTCTCTCTGTATCTATGCTTTTCAAATAAATAAAATAATCTTAAATAAAAAAAAGAGTCCAACAACACAGGCAATAAAGGCAAAAATAGATATCAATTTTAGAAGCTTCTACACAACAAAGGAAAAAAAAATAAAGAGGCAAGAAAACAAAAAAAGATATTCTGTTCAGAGCCTTCTCCCTTGGGGAAGTAATCATGACAAATGGAAATTCCCTATGATCTATGAAACTATTAACATGGAAAGAATCTATGTAAGTGGAAGGCTGGAAGTGATCACATTAGATCTAGTCCACGAGAGTATGTGTGTTCAGAGTGGGAATCAGAATCCACTAAATGCCTTTAGGAAGCCTGGCTCACGATTGGTGACGGAGCCTACGGAGGCCAACGGCTCACAACACCAAAACTGAGAAATGTGTGTCCTTTTATGGATGATTCCTACAGTGACCTAGTCTTCTACTACATCAAGAACAAAATATTTTTCGGCATCCTGATGTTGAAGAGGACAAAGCGATATCTAAAAATGCACACCATTAATTTTTGCCAGTCTCCACATTCTCTGTACTTCTGAATCAGAACTTGCCAGACTGAAGTCAAAGGGCGGGCCGTTTATGGGCTCATCAGGATCAACAGCAACGATCTCTGCAGAGGACATGGTGGTTTTGCAGATCGTCACTGTCCTTCTAGGTATGAACGGGCCATTATCATTCACATCTTCAAGAATAATTCCCAAAGTCCCAGTACATGTTCTTCCGCCTAAGAAAATCAGGGTGAAAAATACATTTTTTATGTTTTGCGTTTTCTCCAGAAAGCATTCATTAAAAAACCTTAACATATTTACCAATGCCTGTAAGCTACAGTAACAAGCACAATCAGAAGTTATGTTCTTAGAGAATGTTAAATGAAAAATATTACTTTCAAAGGGGTTTTAAAGACAATAACTGTTATTTAGATGTGCTTATTCAATAAATCGCAGTAATAAATATGGAAGATATTAAGGAATTTTGACTGATTTTTAAGAAATAACAAGAGTCTGGTGTATTAAAAAAGAGATATCCCAGGAGGTGCATGTTGCACACAAGCGTGACTGGGAGACAGTGAAGGGGAAGGCAGAAAGGTGCCGACTGACGGTGGAGAGAAGGGGTAGTTTTTAAAAGCCAGACTTATATCCTTAATGTGCCCAAGGCTTTGCAGCCAGGAAACTGACTAGTAAAAGACACCTATTAGGAAGATTAGAAAAGGTACATAGAAAAGTTCAAAGGGTGGGAGACTGCAAAAGTAAAAAAAAAAAAAGTCACTTGCAAACTAAAATAATCACTGTGGGTATGGTCTAAGTAATTCATCTATCTATACAATTAATAAAAACTTACTGGATAACTACTCTATATGAAGCACTGCACTGCAAGATCTGAATCATTCAAAGACAAAACAGCCACGGATCCAGGCCACAACGTAATGCAGTTTTGAAGGCTGATTCTGAACAAAATCCAAAAATTCTGTCCCTGAATTGTTTTTTCCTTCCTGCTTAATAAGGAGATGTGGGACATTAGACGTAGGGAAGAGGAGGAAAACCTGTGTCACTTCCCAGGTCTATGACTTATGTGAAGCTGCCAACCCAGGGAAGCTGAAAGACCAGGCACAGTCCTGAAGTCACCACCTGGATTAGGGCATTTGTGCCACAGGGCTTGGACCTGTGATAGCGCATTGTCATTATGGATCAGGAGCACAGGACACCAGCTGGTTCTGAACCACTGGCCACAGAGAAGGAACAGTGAGATGGGATACAGTGTGGGGACCAACGTTAACGGCACTGCAGGTAACATCGCCATCTGCAGTGCCAGCAGCTGCTATCAAAATGCCCTTTCCAGGCCCAGTTTGAGTTCCAGCTACTCCATATTTCCAATCCACTTTCCTGGTAATGTATCTGAGAAGGCAGCAGATGATGGCCAAAGTACTTTGGACTCTGTCACCCATGTGGGAGGCCAAGATGGAGCTCCTGGCTTCGGCTTTGGCCTGGCCCTGACCCAGCCGTTGCAGCTAGTGGGAAGAGTGAACCAGTGGATAGAAAATCTTTCTATCTGTATACATGTGTTTATCTTTCCATTTCTCTGTCACTGCCTCGCAAATAAATAAATATCTTTATTTTAAAGGATGAGAGAAAGTGTGTGAGAGAAAGAAACAAAGGCATAAAACAAACAAACACCTCTTACTTGCCATAAACCTGCAAATTAAAATGTCTAAGGAGCAAGATTAAGGAAAGCCAACAAAATTATTATTCGGAAAATTCACTATATGCAACACATCCTTGAAATAGATATATTTTGAATTTTCAAAGACACAGAGATGGACAGCCAATTAAACAAAAATGAAATTATAACTCAGATTCCCATAGAAATAAAGCAGCAACATTCATCTAATAAGAGTTATTGAAGAGAACAGACACCATTATAAGGAAGTAAAACTTAAGAGTAATTGCCAAGAATATTCCAGAAAATATGGCTTTCGTGATCAAAAGTGTATTCTGACTCCAGTATTAGATAAACTCACAGAATACATGTTATGTTAAAACCACAGACAGCAAACTTAGAGACTGTAGGAGTTACAGTGAAGCTGTTACCTACAAAAGGGTTACAATTACATTGACAGTGGAACAACTGTACAGTGGTGTGGAAAAGAAACTAGTGGCTGAATTTTAAACCAAGTAGAAGTATTAATTAAGAATTACAGAAATATGAGAATATTTTTCAAAACAACAAAACAGAATATTTGAAATCCACACTCGAACACTGCAAGTATCAACAAAGGAGGTACTTCAGCAACAACAGAAGAGAACTAGGGGCCGGCACCGCGGCTCACTAGGCTAATCCTCCACCTAGCGGCGCTGGCACACCGGGTTCTAGTCCTGGTCGGGGCGCCGGATTCTGTCCTGGTTGCCCCTCTTCCAGGCCAGCTCTCTGCTGTGGCCAGGGAGTGCAGTGGAGGATGGCCCAAGTCCTTGGGCCCTGCACCCCGTGGGAGACCAGGATAAGTACCTGGCTCCTGCCATTAGATCAGTGCTGTGCACTGGCCGCAGCGCGCCAGCCGCGGCGGCCATTGGAGGGTGAACCAACGGCAAAGGTAGACCATTCTCTCTGTCTCTCTCTTACTATCCACTCTGCCTGTCAAGAAAAAAAAAAAAAAAGGAGAGAACTAGGGGGAAGAAATGAGAATTAATATAGCTATCTTCCACTTTATAAATTCAGAAAATATTATTTTATTAGACAAAAGGAGCAAGGAGATATGTATTTTATCAACCTGGCCAGCTTTTCCATTAGTGCAGTATAACCCTTGTTTCTCAGTCTCTCTTGTTCAAATAGTAGGTGGTGTTTTCTTGCTCTCTCTGAATACTGCAATTGCTGTGTGTCTAAACATTTCTTTCCCTTTGGCTCCAGTTGAAAGCACATGCCTGACTGACTGACTGGATATGGTTAATTGTGTTGTCTTTAAAAACTGACCTCAATTTTCCTTCCATTTAGAGGCACTCACTCATTAACTTCCAATATATTTTTTGAACATTGTGATTAGAACACTAAGACCTGAGGCATCTAACTCATTATTCCACAGTTGCTTCTGATCTGTCAATGAACTAAATATTCCCTTTTTTTTTTTTTTTTTAAGATTTATTTGAAAGACAGAGTTAACGGGAGGCAGAGGGAGAGAGATCTTCCATCTGCTGGTTCACTTCCCAAATGGCCACAATAGCTGGACTGGGCTGATCCAAAGCCAGGTGCCAGGAGCTTCTTCTAGGTCTCCAATGTGGGTGCAGGGACCCAAGCACTTGGGCCATCTTCTGCTTTCCCAGACCATAGCGGAGAATTGGATTGGAAATGCAGCAACCAGGTCTCGAACCAGCACCCACATGGGATACCGGCACTGTAAGCAGTGGCTTCACACTTTATGCCACAGTGCCAGGCCCCTAAATATTCTTTTATTCATTGATGTCTAGGCATAAAATGCTCATCTTCTAATATTGATATAATGGCAATTCTATATGGGTAAATGCTAATTACAAATCAACTCATAAGGCACTCGATATGAAAGCATGGTTCCATGCTTGATGTGCATAGCCTTCTTCTGTCAAATGTTTAAAAATATTTAAAGGTACTCTCCTCTTAAACACTAGAATAATATGATAAAACTAGAAATCCAAAATTCTACCAGAAAAAGGAGATACCTAGGTAAAATTGCCAATGAAATTTAGATGAAGAAGGAAAGAGAGGGGCCAGCGCTGTGGTATAATGGGTAAAGCCGCTGTCTGCAGTGCTGGCATCTCATATGGGTGCCGGTTCGAGACCCGGCTGCTCCACTTTCCAACCAGCTCTCTGCTATGGCCTGGGAAAGCAGTAGAAGATGGCCCAAGTCCTTGGGCCCCTACACCCTCGTGGGAGACCTGGAAGAAGCTCCTGGCTCCTGGCTTCAGATAGGGGCAACGCCGGCTATAGCGCCCAATTGGGGAGTGAACCAGTGGATGGAAGACTTCTCTCTCTCTCTCTGCTTCTCCTGTGTAACTCTGACTTTCAAACTAAATAAATAAATCTTAAAAAAAAAAGAAGAAGAAAAGAGAAATTGAAGTTAAAGCTTAGAATTTACCTATGTTGAGGAGAGGGAAAGATAGGGTTAGGGTTAGGGTTAGGAATGTGAGGAAAAGGTAGACATGGAGGTCATGAGAGAGAGGTTTATCAAGAGGAAACAAGTGCTGTGGAGAAGCAGGAGGGTGTGGGGTGAGCACAGACCCACAACATCAGGGCTTATGGGTAAAGAGCATTTTGCATTAGGAAACAGCAGAGGGCCCTGATGAAATTAGCCAGTATCAGAATCTGATCTGAATTCCATGAAAGTATTTAATCTCTCAATTATTCCATTTCCTCTACAACAGAGGAAGATGTAAAATAAGAATTACAGTCCAAATATCTAATTTCAGACAGTAATTTTTATCTCATCTATCAATAAATCATTTTCCAAGTGCTGTTAAAAATGTAAAAATAATGGATTTAATTTTCATATTATGTTTCTTCCTTTCACTTGCTTTTGACCAAAATCATTTCTTGGCAAAGTGATCAGAAAAGCTGAGGCCTTACAAGACAGTCCGTAGAAAGCATAACTGCTCTTCTACAACTCATGCAGACCATTCGAATGAAATAACTATGGGGTCTTCTTTGTGGTAACGCTTCTCTTTTCACAGTTCCTAAGTCATGTTCTGTCTGGCCTTTGCTCCACAGGTGGAACAGTACCCCTTCTCATCTCTCCAGTGGCAGCCCTATACATTCTATACGTGCGAGACCAGCACTCCCCTCAGACTGTGATGACTCCTGAATGCTGTACACTTTAACTGAGGCACTGACAGCAGCTGTTTTCAATATACAAACTCCTGGACTAGCTGCACAGACACATAACGAGATTAATGAATTGGCTTGTATATTAGGAAAGACAGCAAACACCACTGTTCCTGCCTTAACATATCTCAATGACGAACTGAGCCAGGTTCAAAAAGGCATCTTGCAAAATCACACAGCCATTGATTATTTACTGCTAAAAAACCAAATCGGGTATGAGCAATTGCCAGGAATATGCTGTTTTAACCTAACTGATAACTCAAAGGGAGATTGACAAATTGCATAAGGAAGTAAATAAAATACATATGTCGACAGGAAATTTCTGTGGAAACTGTGTTCTTCAAAAACTGGAAGTGGCTATCTTGGTTACTGCCCTTCCTAGGACCACTATGTATCATCTTTCTCACACTCTTGCTAGGACCATGCATATTAAACTGTCTTGTATGCTTTGAGTTATCTAGGCTTAAGCAACCACAGGCCATCAGACTCCAAGCAGTACTTCAGACAATGCCTCTGAAGAAACCCACATTCTACCAGGTTCCTTTAGATCGACCTCTAGAAAAATATCCTGCTTCTGCTTCCCCAACAACGTCCCCTGTCAGCAGGAAGCAGCCAGAGTGGTTGTCACCCAGTTCCCCTAACAGAAGGTAGGGACCATTCTTCTGGGGGAGGCAATGTGAGAAGTCAGACAGGTTGTTAGGCAGTCAGGTTGGTCCTGGTGGAAATTTAAGGTGAGAAATGCTTGCTTTTCCAAAAAGCTACCTTTAGCAAAGTCAAAAGTACCTGCCTCAGTTCTTAGGAATTTCCGATTTTTATCATGAGAATAGCAAGGGAGTGGCAATTCCACCCCTCTGAGCTCACAGTTTACTGTACAAACGTGTTACCCATCCTGCCTCATTACAGATCAGGTCTTCTGATGGGTTTTGTCCTTGTCATGTAGCTGAAAGTCAAGCTAACGGCTAAGTTTTTCCCCCATGATTATGTTTAAAAACCCTACTACCACCAGCCCTTCAGGTCTTCCTTTCTTGGAACACCCTCCAGGCCACTTTGGCAGGAGGTTTCCAACTTGAATAAATCCAGCTTTCTCACAGAAAAAAAGAAAAAAAGTCTTTAATTGGCTGAATGTAATCAATAATAATCACAACTTTACCAGTTCAGTCAACGGATAGGAGCCATTTCTCATTACTTCAAAGAGAGAGAAGTGAAAGAGCTAAATCATATTCAAAGATCACCTCTAAATTCTAATTTTAGCATATTTATTTTTCAAAGACCCAGAATTCAAATGTCTATTATAGTAAAATTATGTTTATGTTCTAAATGAGTCTCAAAGAATCACTGTGAAATCGGACAAGACCCCCTAAAATCTACACTAAATTGTAGCCCCTTAAAGTTCCATAGAAATACCATCCGGGGTGCCGCATGTGCTACCTGAATTTGGAATGCCTTACGATTTCACCATGGGCTTATTACTAAATCCCCAATATTAATAAGCCCAAGAGGGTTCTTGCCTAATATTTAGAGAAGAATTCTAAATACCGGCACAGATAAACAAGGCAGCATGTCGCTCCCCCTCTTCGTGGAGGAACGACACAGGACCCTGCGCTGTTCTTTCGTCTGCTCGGCCCTTCCCGGGTTTGCTGCTGGTTCTTCCCGGGTTGGCTACCGTCCCTTCCACCTCCGTGGAAGGGCGGTTCCCCCTGCCACTTTCCCCACTTCCGCGGGGGAGCGGCACACCGCCGGCCGGCTCTCTCGGGGGTTGCTCAGATGTTCCTCAGGTGTTCCTGGTGCATGTTGTCTCTCTCCTCCTTTATAGTCCTCTTCCACCAATCCCAACTCCACACGCCGAGTACGCTGCTCTCCTCCAATCAGGAGTGGGATCAGCTCCTGCAGGTTACTGGTTGAACTGGAGGCAGCTGTGTAGAAGCTGTTTACTCCTCTCTCAGCGCCATATTGTGGGAGAGCAGATGCATAGAATAAGTCTTAATTCCAGTAACTTAGTCTAGTCTGAGTTGCTCCCCACAGCAGCATGGTACGTTTTAAGCTTTTATTTAGTAAGAAAGATGCATAGGAGAGTGAGAGCTTTATTTAAGAGAGAGAAGTGAATGGGGGTTCATACCAAGCACCAGGAACCAGCCACATGGTTGAGCATCAAGGCCAGGAAGCCTAGAGCACATGGCCCGAAGGCCATGCGCCCTGGAGGGGCAGGGCTACAGCAAGCCCTCTCCTGGCAAGAGGCCAGGGAAGAAGAGCAGGCCGGGCCACACCATGTCCCAGCTTTTAACCCACTCCAAAGGGGAGTGGTTAATTAACCTGATTGGCTGGTAGGCACCCAGGTGTGGCCAGGTAGGGGGATGAGGACACACAGGGGCGTGGTGAAGGCGTGGTCTTCCAGCTCACAAACCTAATCGATTTTAACCTATATGCCTGCCCACTTCAACTGTACTCATATTTCTCTTAATTTTATATGAAACACAGAACATAAGTTTACACGCTATATGCTTACATAAATTCATAGTATTATCTAATTTAATCATATACTAATAATCATGACAGTGTTTATGTAATGTCCTGAATCAGCATTCCAGCCCCAAGTAAATGGTTATATTTCCTGTACAGAGTTATAGCTGTTTTCTAGAAGTGAAGTATTTCTCCTTTGAGTGAGCTCTCTTGACAAGGTGAATGTTTTACGAGAAGTACACAGATAAACTGGAGCTAATTTTACTGAAGTAATTTTCTCAATTTTTAATGATTGCCTTACTCTAATAAATTATGATTTCAAGTTCTATGACCAAATTATTTTGTAATTATGTCTAATACCAATGCTGCTATTAGAAAAAAAGACATGTGTTAATAAATTATAGCAGACCTCTCAATTACTCTTTAGGTGATTCTAGGGAGAAATGAAAACAGAGAATATATAAATTTCATTTTTAAAATGTATATTATATTTTTCCAACTCAGGCTGTTCACTGCGGAAGATGTATGTTTCTCGTTTAAAAACAAATTGCTTACTTTGATCTGATGCTAGGATTGTAATATTATAGATTCCATCTTTGATGCTCTCTGCTTCTCTATCCAGGTTTCTGATAATCGTGATAGAGCCTGAGTTTTCATCAACAGTGACCCACCCTTTGGGGTCATTTGATTTCCTATACCTGTTAAAAATGATAAATTAAAATAACATGAAGGATTGTAAGTCAGATTATAATATTAATTCAAAATAAGTTTAAATTTGAAAATTACAGTAAACTTGAAGCTAAATGTAGTAGAATTGTAAATACCTTATGCCACTGCTACTTCTTGTTTCTGGGTCATATGCTTGATATCCATTGCTTCTTGTATCCACTGCTACATTTTCTTTAATTCGAACAGTTTGCATTGGAGGGATACACTCAGGGCCCTCATCTTGATTTTGTACATTAACGGTAACTACTGCTGTGCTCATGGCTGATCTTGAACTACCCTCTAGTGAATATGGGGCTTCATTAACTACGCCAATTTGCAGGGTCACCTGTTGTGTTTCTTCATAATTCAGGGGCTACAAAAGCAAATGTGTCAAAAAATCAGATCAAATCATTTAACATTTGGCAACGTGACCTAATGTATCTAACTGGTTACCTATGGAAATACGTAGGTGCTGTGTTGAGAACAATCGTGGGAATATTAACACATGCCTAAAAACAGGGCAGTGGAAGAGAAAGGGGAATCCTTCAACTGATTCAGGAGTTGGGTAGAAAGGGCAAAAATGAAAACAAAAATTCTTCCTCAGACCTTTCTCTCTGTCTCTCTCTCTCTCACTGTCCACTCTGTGAAAAAAAAAAAAAATTCTTCCTCAATTCCAAATTTAATACAATTAATGAAGGTGCTTGTATGTTAACACAAGAGATGCTCCTTTTGGGGGGAGGGGGGTTCATATCATAAGTATCATAAGAAATAGGTATTTACTGTGCCATTAATTTTAGGACAGCTTTTCTTACATTCCTGAGATGAACAAAATTATTTGTCCTTGGTTTGGGTTGAAAATGTGGGTCAAATTTTGTGAAATGCTTTAAGACAACAGAGATGAGAAAATAAAAAGTTTATGGTCATTATACTTTCCTTTTAAAAAAATGTATGTATGTATGTATTTAAAAGGTAAAGTGACGGGGAGGGGGAGGGAGAGAGGAAGAGAGAGAAAGAGAGAGAGAGAGAGAGAATCTTCCATATGCAGTTCAGTCCCAAATGCCTGTAGCAGCAGGGGCTGGATCTGGATGAACCAAGGAGCCTAGAACTCTCCATAAAGGTTTCCCATTTGTGGGCAGGGACACAAGTACTTGAACCATCATCTGTTGCCTCTTTGGTGCATAAGCTGGAATCTAGGCCAAAAGTGCATTAGCTGGTACTTGAACCAAGCACTTCAATATGGGATGCCAGTGTCCTTGGGATAGCAGCCAAGTTCTTTACAGATGTTGTAGAATAGTATTAGAAAGAAATTTTAGACATATTCACATTTTTAAATGTTTGAGGATTCCCATTTTGAACTTGGATGCTAAGAATATACTGAACATGGATGAACAAACCTACAAACAGCCTCGTATGGGTTTGAGTCATCATTTGAGAAAGTCAATAAGATACCCAGATACAGAAAAAATAGTCTAGGAAAGTTTGCACTGCCCCCCCAGCATCAAATCTTTTTTAATTAAGAGAAATTGGTTACAAAATGGATAAAATATGTTAACTGAATACATACTAGCATATATATTTTTAAAATCACACCTATATAAAAAGTTACAAAAATAAATATTCTCTAACATAGATCCTCAACATAGCATTTACATTCACCTATATACATTAATCTAACATTTACCAGAATTTCCTTCTTCCTATTAAAATCTAGTATCCTATTCTATGATATTATAAACTTTATACACTACAAATATGAATTTAATGACTTAATCTTACCTTAACTACACACAGGACTCCTTCATTAGTTTTGGGATCTGTTGTGATTTTAAAATTTCCATTTTCATTGCCCTTTAAAATGGTATAATTAGCTCTCCAGTTGGGAGTGTTAACTAAGTCCTTATCTTCAACAGTAACACGCAAAATTTCCACATCAACTGTATTTTCCTCCACTGATGCAGCATACTAAAAGAACACAAACAAACAAAAAAGCTTAGTTAGCACTCACAAAAATAAAACATCCTCTAAAGGAAGCCCTGTTCATCTAATCTCCTAAATACATAATTTACATAATTTCAAACTCTGACTCCAAACCACTGTTATGTTATTGGGGTTACTTCATTTGAAATTATGTGTCATGATCAGAGATGTGCCTACTTAATAATTAACACTAGATTATACATCTTTCTCTTATTAATTTCATATACTTACAGAAGGATGGGTAAATGTTGGCATATTGTCATTCACATCTCCAATATTAATGATACAAGTTGCAGTTGTCTGCAAACCAAAATATTGACCATCCATATCTTGTACTTTTATTTTCAACTGATATTTATCAATTAACTGAAAACAAAAAGAATTTAATTACTGAAGGAAATCAACAGCATTACAAATGAAATCAACATTTAAACTGTATAATTTTCCTTGTCTTAATAATTTAAGGGGCACAGGATTAAATTTCATAGCCCTCATATTCTAGAAAAATTTCTTCACACTCGTAATTTTCATTTAATTTATGAAAAACAGTGTCATTTCTTAACGTGCCATCAACTCAAAAACTATAGAATTGGTTGGCTTTATCTTTTTTTTTTTTTTTTTTTTTGACAGGCAGAGTTAGACAAAGAGAGAGAGAGACAGAGAGAAAGGTCTTCCTTTTCCATTGGTTCACCCCTCAAATGGCCACTACGGCCGGCGTGCTGCGCCGATCCAAAGCCAGGAGCCAGGTGCTTCCTCCTGGTCTCCCATGCGGGTGCAGGGAGACCAGGCACTTGAGCCATCCTCCACTGTCCTCCCGGGCCACAGCAGAGAGCTGGACTGGAAGAGGAGCAACCAGCACAGAATCCGGCACCTTAACCAGGACCAGAACCCAGGATGCCAGAGCAGCAGGCGGAGAATTAGCCAAGTGAGCCACGGCGCCAGCCTTGGTTTTATCTTTATTCAACACAAATAGAAGAGCTATAGCCGTAAGTACATTTTAAACTGCCTGTTAATTACTAAGAATCTTTATCTTCTATTAAAATCATATTCTAATATTTTTACTTTTTTATTTATATAAAAGGAACAAATTTCATGTATTTCATACATACAGTTTTAAGAGCATAATGATATTTCTCACACACCCCTGCCTCCCGCCCTCTCTCACTCCCACCCTCCTTTCTCCTTCTTTTTTTTTAAATTTTAATTTGTACTATGGCATACTTTCAATTTACTTTATAAACATAAATTTAACATTCAAAAATATATAGCAGTAAATCAGAGCTGGCATCGTGGCACAGCAGGTTAGGCTACCACCTGCAACTCTAGCATCCCATATGGACACCAGTTCAAGCCCCAGCTGTTCCACTTCCAGTCCCACTCCCTGGCAATGCACCTGGGAAAGCAGTAGAAGATGGCAAGTGCTTGGGGCCCCTGCTATCCATGTGGAAGACCTGGATGGAGTTCCAGGCTCCTAGCTTTGGCCTGTCCAAGTCCTGCATGTTTCAGCTATTTGGGGTGGTGAACCAGCAGAAGCAAGATCTCTCGCTATGTAATTGCCTTTAAAATAAATAAATGTCTTTAAAACAATAATGTAAAATATTCCCCTGTAGAAAAAAAGATTTTAAAGATTTACTTTATACTTTTAAAAAGATCGATAAATGAGGATGAAAATAAAGTTCTGGGTCTAAGTAATTTCTCCTTTCTATGGAAAACAGAATATGGTTTTAGATATTGCCTAAGGCATGCTGCTACTTTAAAAAATGTTTCTCTTCATGCATTTATTAGAAGAGATTGAGTTACAGAGGATTAAAAACATCATAATAATGCCTTCCAGTCTTAGTATTAAGAAACTTAGGTTCTGTAGGCCAAGGTTGTGGTGCAGTGGGTTAAGACGCAACTACTGATGCTGGTTTCTCATATCGGAGTGCAGGTTCAAGTCCTGGCTACTTTAGCTTCTAATTCAACTTCCTACTAATACACCTGGGAAGGAATTGAATGATGGCCCAACTACTAGGGCCCCTGCCACCATATGGGAGACCTGGATCATGTTATTGGCTCCTGGCTTTGACCTGCTCTTGCCCTGGCTATTGAAGTCATGCGGGGAGTGAACCAACAGATGGAAGATCTCGCTTTCTTGCTCTCATTCTCTTTTTCTCTCTTCCCCACTCCATGTGTTTGTGTGTGTGTCTCTCTCTCATTCTTTCAAGTAAACCAATTAATTAAATGTTAAATAAACTAAAATAAATAAATAAACCTTTTTCAAAAAAGAAACAGATCCTCTTTTCAGGCCCAAAAATAACAAATGCAATGTTGGCCGGCTGGAAAATCCTCTTTGCCTAGGTTTCTTGTTCTATGAAATGTTTATTATGATCATCCTTTCTACCTAACTCACTTTTCTTCATAAAACAAAACATGTGAAAATCTCTCTTCACCTTCTACCTAGAACGCTCACCTTAGTTAAACAAGGCCACCTTCTTTCTTTTCTTTTTTATTTTACCTTCTTTTCTTAATTCAATGACCTCTTAAACTTTCTTGTCCTCATACATTACCTAAAACAAAACTAAAGTTTCTCTTCATCTCTGTTTTGTATGAACATAATTTCATTGACTTACCCTTCCCTAATCACATTTCACACTTGAAAAATAATGGCCTCATTTCAATGGAAAACATTCAAGGCCGGCGCCGTGGCTCAATAGGCTAATCCTCTACCTGCGGCGCCAGCACACTGGGTTCTAGTCCCGGTCAGAGCGCCAGATTCTGTCCTGGTTGCCCCTCTTCCAGGCCAGCTTTCTGCTATGGCCCAGGTCCTTGGGCTCTGCACCCGCATGGGAGACCAGGAGAAGCACCTGGCTCCAGGCTTTGGATCAGCGTGATGCGCCAGCCACAGCGGTCATTGGGAGGTGAACCCACGGAAAAAGGAAGACCTGTCTCTCTCTCTCACTGTCCACTCTGCCTGTCAAAAATAAAAAAAATTCAAAACTTCATGCTAGAATAATTTTAGGAGGAATTACCTGTTTTGTTTGTAATGAGCTAATGTTTATTGGCTATAATCAACTGGCTGATAAAACAATGAAATGAAGTTTTGAGACCCTAAAGCTTTATTTGTGGCATCTTCAGATGGAAGAGAAATTACGATGGTTTAAGGGCTTACGTGGTTGCAGGCAACAGACGATAACTGGAACTCTACGGCAAAAAAATTACTATAGAGCAATCCTAGGATAACTCCTCCAATGATTAAATGTCTTTCATTGATTCTACCAAAAGGAGCTATTTTTTTATAATTTTTTAATTAATTAATTTTTTTGACAGACAGTTAGTGAGAGAGAGAGAGACAGAGAGAAAGGTCTTCCTTTTTTTGTTGTTTCCACCATGCAACTGGCTGCTACGGCTGGTGTGTTGCGGCCGGCACACTGCGCCGATCCAAAGCCAGGAGCCAGGTGCTTCCTCCTGGTCTCCGATGTGGGTACAGGGTCCAAGGACCTGGGCCATCCTCCACTGCCCTCCCATGCCACAGCAGAGAGCTAGACTGGAAGAGGAGCAAGCAGGACAGAATCTGGCGCCCCAACTGGGACTAGAACCCAGGGTGCCGGCGCCACAGGCGAATTAGTCTAGTGAGCTGCGGCGCCGGCCCCAAAAGGAGCTATTTAAGGAAAATTACTTGTGTACTTTAATTTGTGAGCTGAACGAGGTGTTGTTTTTTTTATAGAACACAGTTTTTACGTGAAAGATATCTATGGTTATTCAGACTGGAGTATTCGGAAGGCATTTTGTCAAACATAAACTAAATTTGTCACTTCAAAGATAACTTTGCTGTCTATGATAAAATGTCATTTTCAAGAAAAATGACACAATCCCATCAAGGTGGCATGTACCAATGCCATCTCACTAGTCCAAGTGATCAACTTCAGTTCACAATTGATCACACTGATAGGTCTAAGAGTCAAAGGGATCACACAAACAAAACTAGTGTCTGCTAATACTAACTGATAGAATCAAAAAGGGAGAGAACGATCCAACATGGGAAGCGAGATACACAGTAGACTCATAGAATGGCAGATGTCCTAAATAGCACTCTGGCCTCAGAATCAGCCCTTAAGGCATTCAGATCTGGCTGAAGAGCCCATGAGAGTATTTTAGGCATGGAAAGCCAAGACACCCTGGGGAAAAAAAAAAAGAAGAAGAAGAAGACCTAAATGAAAGATCTCTGTGAGTGAGATCCCAGTGGAAAAAACAGGGCCATCAAAGAAGGAGGTACCTTTCTCTGAAGGGAGGAGAGAACTTCCACTTTGACTATGACCCTGTGGGAATAAGATCGAAGTCGGCGAACCCAAAAGGCAACTCATGACTAGAGCCTAGGGAGATTACTGATGCCATAAACAAGAGTGTCAAATTGTTAAGTCAACAACAGGAGTCACTGTGTACTTACTTCTCATGTGGGATCTGTCCTTAATGTGTTGTCCAATGTGAAGTAATGCTATAACTAGTACTGAAACAATATTTTTATACTTTGTGTTTCTGTGTGGGTGCAAACTGATGAAATCTTTACTTAATATATATTGAATCGATCTTCTGTATATAAAGATAATTGAAAATGAATCTTGATGTGAATGGAATGGGAGAGGGAGCGGGAGATGGGAGGGGTGCAAGTGGGAGGGAATTTATGGGGGGGGAGCCAATGTAATCCATAAACTGTACTTTGGAAATTTATATTTACTAAATAAAAAAAAAGAAAAATGACAAGTTTGGTATTAATGGAAGTGAGGAAGAGAGAAGGAGATTTTTCTAAGACTCCCTCATGAAATGTGTCAATATTTAGAAAATCTACATAACTCGGTGGGCCAATATTTTCCAAATGACTGATGCATGGCTTTAGAAAATTTCAGATTGGTGCAATATTCATTCACAATCAAGAAAAACCAATGGATTTTCATGTAACAAAATACGAAAGTTCATTGATAGGACTTGAGAGTCTACATTGCAAACACCTTTAAGAAACTACTTACTACTTCTCAAAGAAGAACATCCACTGTGATTTGAAATGACTATTACAATATTCTTTTCTAACTTCATCTCAGATTTTCTATATATACTTAAGCAAAAGCCACTTGGAAAATAAGGTTTGGGGGAATATATAACAATGTCACTGTTCTCATTTAGTTATTTATTACTTTGGGAAACTACTTAATTTTTGGATTTCCAGTCTATTGAAAAGAGGAAACCAGATATTGGAGATATAATATGGACTCTATTTTCATTTGTGTAAGGAAAAAAATAGATGATATTGTTGAAAAAAAGTGATACAGACACAAAAGAGAAGCATTCCTGTCTCCGTAGATGACAAATTTCTGCACATTCCCAAAAGGCAAACTTTCTGTATTGAACACTTCCCATTACCATAATATTCAGGAGAATAAATTATTATTTCAGAATTAACACACTGCAAGTTTATTTAATGACCTCTAGTAAATACTTAAAATAATATTATCAGTAAATAGCTTCTAAAATTTTCATTTGATTTGAAACACACAGAGAGAGAAAGAGAGAGAGAAAGATCTTTCATCTACTGGTTCTCTCTCCAAATGCCTGAAAGAGCTGGGACTGAGCCAGACTGAAATCAGGAGCCAGGAGCTCACTCTGGGTCTCCCACAGTGGGTGGCAGGAACTCAACTGCTTGAGCCATCATTGCTGCCTCCCTCGTGGATATTAGCAAGAAGCTGGAATTGGGAGTGGAGCTGGGACTCCATTCTGGCCATTTCCATACAGGATACAGGAATCCTCAAGCAGTGTCTCAAATCATTGCACCAAATGCCCACTCCAGTCAATAAGTATTAAAATATTAATAAAATAATTTTTCTAAAATAAAGTTTACAACATGCTTTTCAAAAACACATCTCTGGCTGATAAGCAGAGACATAAAGGTACTACTACATAGCTATAATATAATCAAGTTTTATGTATTAATATTTGAGTTACCTCTCTGTCTAACTGAGATGACGATGTGGTGATCACACCCGTGTGTGGATGCATGGAGAACAAGGTGGGTGACCTCGGCAGCTGCTCAAGGATAGAGTACTTGAGGCGTGTGTGCATCGTGTCAGGCTCATCTTTGTCAGTTGCACATACCTGTCCCACAGTAGAACCTGCATACAGAAAAATCCTCTTTAATTTCCAAAACTTCCACATTTTCAACTTCTTCTTTGCGTCACTCATCTCCCCTGATCTCAGAAAAGTTCCACATCACATTTTATATAGTAGAGTCAAGGCTTTTGTGTGTGACCCCTACACAAGCTACCCCATCCTTTAAATATCCTAGCACCCTACCATTTTGAATTTGGTAATCATATCTATATTTACTTAATGCATGATTTTTTAAAAAATATTAATACTACCCCTCTATGACATTTGTATTTTGTAAGTAAAGAATTCTAAATATTTTTTAGCTTTTTCTGTCAGTCTGCAATTAGTTGGCCATACGAATCTGTTTTGTCTAGGAAGCCCTGCTTCCATTATGTCATTGGACAGGAAGTCTGAAAAACTGCATCCAGGCTTCCAGTTAAGATGGATCATTTCACAAGATTGACAAAACATTTGTATTACTCTCAATGACTTCTATGGTCATGCCCACGATATTGTAAACCATTCAATCACTAGAGAACGTAAGTAGATACATTCAAGTCTGTGTCTCCAATTGCTCAAAGACTTATTATGTTCTCTTAGAAGTATTTATTTGGGGCCAGCATTGTGGCTTAGTGGATGAAGCCACCACCTGTGATGCCAGCATCTCATATGGACATCAGTTTTTGTCCCAGCTGCTCCACTTCCAATCCAGTTCCCTGCTAATGCGCCTGGGAAAGCAGCGGAAGATGGCCCAAGCACTTGGATCCCCACACCCATGTGGGAGACCTGGAAAAACTCCTGGCTCCTGGCTTTGGTTGTTGCAGCCATTCTGGGAGTAAACCAGTGGATGGAAGATCTTTCACTCTCTAACTCTTTCTCTGTAACTCTGCCTTTCAATTTTTTTTAAAAAAGTATTTGTTTTATTTCACACAGGAAGCAAAGTAACATTTATTAACTGATTTTTGAAGTGCTGTGCTAGGTATTCCATGTGTATTCTGCTTCATTTAATCTTCATAAAAATCTGGCATAGCGATGACCCATTTTACTGATGAGGAAACTCCGGCTTGTGAAGATTAGAAAACTTGCTCAGGGTCTCACAGGTATTTCAAGGCTGAGCAAAATCTTACCCATACTCCCTTGTTCATGCCCCTAGGCTGTGGTGCTTCCTGACAGCCATAATGAAGCTCATTTTGTGAGTTAATCACATTCAAGTTGTCACATATTGCTAAAGTAGATACTCACCCACTCTGCAGTTTTCAAAAACTGTAAAAACATAAGTTGTTTCTGTAAAAATTGGGTAGTTATCATTCTCATCCTCTATTTTGATTGGTAAGGGCAGTGGAAGTTCTGGTGTGTACCCATCTGGAGTTGATGCAAAAGCAATGAGCTGTGAAGAGAGTAAAATAAAGAGAAAAGTGAAAATAACTTTTAAAACAAGATACGGTTCAAACTAGCTTTGGCTTTGACTTGGAGACTCTTCAGCACCGTGATGAGTCTCACTGTCTGTTACTGTTTGGGTGTGGTCATAGCTTCATTGCCAAGAGGTAGCTGATTTTGTGGTGTGACAGCATTTTGTGTTTAAATTTATCTAATATAATAACTTAGATCATGTTAATTTCCATTTAATTGCTCTGTATTTTCATGAGTGTAATGGTTTTTATTACTAATTTTTCCAAAGCAGACTTGTCTATTCTGTGCTATCAGCTATAGCCAGAACACTGACTACAAAGAAAACAGAAAAGGGCAAATGAAATGAAAAGGCCAATGTTAATAAATGCTAATACAATATAAATGCTAGACTTTACCTCAAAAGACTCGTATTGCTCACGATCCACAGGACGAGTACAATACAGGTTTCCAGTATCTCTCTCCACATAAAATAAATTCAGAGGTTCTTGGTCAACTCCCGGTCCTCTTATGGAATAGTATATAGTGTAGTTCTGTGCTGTGTCAGATTGAATCTACAGTAGACATAATAAGCATGAGACAAATTTTTATTTCAGCACAACTTTCATCTGTGTATTTATGTAATGACATGGTGCTGCTATTTTTATTACAAAATATTTGCTGCTTTAATTTATTATTACGCATAAAGGAAAGACAGCAATAGAGTTAGGACACCTAATAATTGAGAAATTGCAAAAATCAGCCATGAGCAAAAGTATGTAATGCCATCTTAGTTTTCTTTATTTACTTGAGAGGCAGAGATAGAGAGAAAGGTCTTCTGTCCTCTGGTTTACTCCCCAAATGGCCACAAAAACTGGAGCTGCGCCGATCTGAAGCCAGGAGCCAGGAGCTTCTTCTGGTCTCCCACGCAGGTGCAGGGGCCCAAGCACTTAGGCCATCTTCTACTGCTTCCCGGGCCACAGCAGAGAGCTAGACTGAAAGAGGAGCAGCTGGGACTAGAATCAGTGCTTATATGGGATGCCGCTGCCGCAGGCAGAAGATTAACCCACTACGCCACATTGCCAGCCCCTGCCACCTCAGTTTTCTTGAATAAGTAAAGAATACATACAGGCTGAATGTACCTATGTGGACCAAGTATTTAAGACTTTTCTTGTCTTAGAAAATGAAGTATTTTGAGCATAAAAATATTATTCTGTTGTCCAGTTTTTTAGATTGAATTTTAATTATATGCACATAATATTTAAGACACTGAGTTTAAAGTATATTAGCTGCAGGGTCAAAACTTAGAGTAGAAGCTGGCATTGTGGTATAGCGGGTAAAGCTGCTGCCAGCATCCCATATGGGCACCACTTGGAGTCCCAGCTGCTCCACTTCTAATCCAGCTCCCTGTTAATGTGCCTGGGAAAGCAGTAGAAGATGGTCCAAGTGATTGGGCCCCTGTACTCACATGGGAGACCCAAATGAAGCACCTGACTCCTGGCTTTGGCTTGGACCAGCCCCAGCAAATGCAGCTATCTAGGGAGTGAGCGAACCATCAGATAGAAGATCTTTATCTGTCTCTCCTTCTCTATCTGTAACTCTATCACATTAAAAAAAAAATCTTTAAAATTAGAATATGTTTTCCTTATGAATTTTTATTACTTCTCAGCATCTTCACTCATAAGAGCCGAGTGAAAAAATATATATATATATGAGAAAATAAAAAACTGAATAATACCCCAGCCAGGATGATATTCTGGTCCTTGATTCAAAAAGCAATTTTTTTCCCAAGCTGTTTTCACTCTCTCAGTAAGATCTTTTTTATATAACAGAATTTTATGTAGTTACTTATTTGTTTGAAGGAAGAGTAACAAGTGGAGAAATCGAGAGGAGAGAGCTCCTATCCAGTGGTACATTTCCCAGATGTCCACAACAGCAGAGGCTGGTCCAGGCCAAAGTCAGGAGCCAGGAATTCTACTGGGGTTTCCCACATGGGTGACAGAAACCCAAACACTGTGGCTACATTCTGCTACCTCCCGGGTGCATTAGCAAGAAGGTGGATTGGAAGTAGAGGTAGGACCTGATCTCAGACATTCCAATATAGGATACAGGTGTTGGGGGGCTGCTGTTCCATGACGCCTGCCACAGTAAGATCTTGACCCTCTTCAAACCAATATTAATAGAATAATTACCAAACAATTCTTTCTCAACTTTAACATGATCTTCTCTGAACTGTATTACAATTGTTGGTAGGGTATAAAGGAGAATTCTACAACCATTTCAGGAACTGAGGGAAAAGAAAGTCAAGTCATAGATTAAATGGCCGTAGCCACTCACAATGGAAGGAGACAAGGAGGTTTAACAGGATTGCCTCTAAAACTTCCAAAAAAAGGAGAAAGAGAAAAGGTGGGTGCAGTGTGATGTACGAAGTGGACTCAGTGGGTCAACGCTGTGGCATAGTAGGCTAAGCCTCTGCCTCAGTGCTGGCATCCCACATGAGCACCGGTCGGTGTCCCAGCTGCTCCTCTTCTGATCCAGCTCTCGGCTATTGGCCTAGGAAAGTGCAGAAGATGCCCCAAGTCCTCGGACCCCTGCATCCACGTGGGAGACTCGGAAGAAGCTCCTAGCTCCAGGCTTCAGATTGGTCCAGCTCTGTCCGTTGAGACCATTTGGGGAGTGAACCAGCAGATGGAAGACCTCTCAGTCTCTGTCTTTCCCTCTCTTGTTCTGTAACTCTACTTCTCAAATAAATAAATAAAATCTTAAAAAAAAAGAAGTGGACTCAGGAATAAGCAATAGAGGTGTATGTGCCTTTCTCTCTGTGGCACTTGGCCTTTTATCTGTGTTTTTATCCATTATTACGGGAGATATTTTGGGATTCCTCAGGCTATGTGCAGACTGTAATACTCCTGTTAATAGAAAGATTCATTAAGGAAATGCATTTGAGAATGCCGGATAAGTTTTACAGTTGTATAAATGGCCTTTGTATGAATAAAGCAGCACAAAAAACAGTGTTATGCAGATATAAAGATATATATACATATATTTACATGAAAATATTGAAACATAGACATGCCCATTCACTCATATATTCATAAACAACTATGTTTCAAAAACTGCATATTCAGTACCAAAATTCTGAAGATAAAAACAGAGGGAAAGTAAACTGTACCTGCTGAAGGAACAGGGGGAAAGGACCCAAAGAATTCTCTTGCATTGAACAAGGGATGGGAGCCCATCTTCTCTTGGTACGTCGCAGAACTTTCTCTTTAGAAAGCGTTTGGTTAGGTACCTCAATTTAGAAGACAGAAGATAAAATTAAAATCAATGACTATTTTATTCTCAAACAGTGAACTCTGATACATCTTTCTCCCTGCGTGAGGCTTGGCAGGGGGCCATATAACACCATGGAAGTGCTTGATACCAAAGTAAACATCAACATGGCAAAAAGGATGATGCAGAAACAGCCCCTGTAACTGTCATCGTAACATCCTCTTGAGAAAGTAACTTGGTGGAAATATGGAAGAAAGAGAGATGGAATGAGAAGCTGAGAAGCAAAACTTAACGAAGAAAATCAGAGCTGCCCATTGCCATGCAAAAGCATGGGAGGAGAGATACGGCAAGACAATAACCTTCTAAACTTAGCACAAGCATCTTCCACTCACCAGCTAGGCAGAGCCAGGGAACCAACAGAGAGATCTGTGCCAGAATGAGGAGAGAAACATAGTGATAACTCTCAAACTACTACAGTGAGGAATGGCCACTGGTTGACCAGAAATCATATTGGTCTTAGGTGTTATAATACAATAAGCATGCGCATGATCTAAACCTCCACCTACAATACAATCATCTATTTTCTAAAACTACAAAGCATACTAAAAGGCATGAGAATAAAGTCTTTGTCCAAAGAGACAGTTTCAAAACTTGGTTGTTGGAAATCCATTCTATGGTAAAGAACAACAGATGCTTTTGCATGTCTAATCTCAAATTCTTATGCTGTAGTTTATCCCAGCTTTTCCTTTATTGTCTCAAATGAAAAAGAATGATAAAGCTTAATAACCTATGTTGCACAACTCTCTTCTATTTAAATACTATGAAGTTGTCTCATGAGTTTCATTCTTCTTCAAACCAACTCTACTATACCCCTCTGATTCCACATCTTCCCTGGTAATGCTACTTACACCTGAAGAAAACATTATTATACTTTCTTTTATATAGTTGTGTATACCTCTGTTTGATCCTCCAAAAGGACAAATATTTCCTTCTCTTCCTGGTTTTCAGTGTTGGAAAGCAATATGGTAAAACTTCTCTTCTCCGGGGACAAAATAATAGCATTTGTTGTAAAGACTGAACCATCTTTTAAAACTTGGAAATCAGGATCACTTGAATGAATTAGACTTGGAAATTTAACACACTCCTTCAGGTTAACTGTAAAAAATATACACAGCAAGACATAGTAAAACAGCATTCACTAGAAAAAAACCAATCTATATATATAGGGAGAACTGAAAATTAATTACAATTACACTTGTAAATTTCACCTTTTAAAAGGACAAGTAAGACTATATGATTAATTAAGTTGTGCTTAAACACAAATATTATTTCTAATGCATAATTCACATCCTTTTAAATTTATATTTCTTTATTTATTTGAAAGGCACAGTGACAGAGAAAGGGAGAGAGGAAGGAGGGATGGGGGGAGGAAGAGAGAGAGAGAGAGAAAGAGATCTTCCATTTGCTAGTTCATTCACCCAAATGCTCACAACAGTCAGGACTAGGCCAGACTGTAATCAGGAGCCAGGAACTCCACCCAGGTCTTCCATGTATGCAGATGAGACCCAAAGACTTGAGCTATCACCTGCTGCCTCCTAGGGTATGCATTAGCTGGAAGCTGGATGGGAAGTAGAGGCAGGACTAGATCCCAGACACTCTAATGTGGGATGCAAGTTTCCCAAGCAGCGACCTAACCAGCTGTGCCACAGCACCCACCCTCCATTCCACATGATTTTAAAGGAGACATTTGTCCTGAAATAAAGGCATGTGAACTACAGTGTTTGAATATTTAGACCAACATGGAAACATTTCCTTATCAAATGAACTCATACTGCAGTAACACATAAGAACATCTGAAATAAGGTGAACAGAATCTATCAAATCAAAAGAGGCAGCTATTAAATTAAAAAATTACAAAACATTTTATGTCATAAAATAGTCACCCTATGAAGATACTTCAAGAAGTTCGTGGAAAAGCATATTATGAAAAAGCTATGCATAAATTTCAAAACAAAATTTGCACCAAAATTAACTTATCTTTTAATTTTCCTCAAAGCTTTTGAATTACCCTCATATTCTGTGTTTTCATTGGTTTCATATTCTCTTACACATTTAAGTTATGTAAAACCAATTAACTGCTTAAAAACAATGTTTAAAGGGTGTGCAGAGCATTGTGGTGCAGTGGGTTAAGCCGCTTCTTGGAACGTCCATAGTCTATATGTGAGTGCCTAGCTTGAGTTCCAGCTACTCTGCTTTTGATCCAGCTTCTAGCTAATGCGTGTCAGAAGGGAGCAGCAGATGACTCAGTTACGAGTGTCCCTGTCACCCATGTGGCAGACCTGGAGGAATGCTGGCTCCTGGCTTTGGCCTTGTCTAGCCCTCTCTGTTGCAGGCATTTGGGAAGAGAACCAGTGGGTGGAAAATGGAAGCCACCCCCCCACACCTCTCACTCCTCTCTCCCTCCCTTTCTCTCTTTCTCTCTCTCCCTGTCACTCTGCCTTTCAAATAAATGAATAAATAATTCTTTTAATAATTAAAAAAAATAAGCAGTAAGATGCCAAATGTTTTAGGATGAACATTCCAAAACAATATCTTTAAAATTCAAGAAGCAATTTTAATATTATTTCTCAATTTTGTAGAAACATGTACACTTATATCACATATATTTTATTCTTCATCTAACATAAATGCTAATAATTATTCAAGTTAAATTGTCTTATCATTGGGGTTTTTCAAGAACAATATTTATTTCATTGTGATGACACAGTACAATTGATACATACTGTATTAATTTTAACTATTAGTCCCAATACAGTTACCATTTTTTAAAAAAGCTAATTTTAATAGATCATACCAAAGTAGGATGTATTACATATTGTGTAGTTTCTCACCTCTACCAATAAATTTTTCAGCATCTAGTTTAGAGGGAACATGTAGGGTCACTTTTTTGCATGCATCACAGGCAAGTGTTAATACCTAGAAAAAAGTCAAATGAATACTATGAATTAAAAGGTCCTTTTAATGTTGCTCTAGCATATATAAATTATAAATGTTAATATAACATATAATGTAAATATGATACAGGATATAATATTTATACAGATACTAATTGTATATTAAGTAAATATAGTTGATTGGTTAATAAAATGTTAATAAAAATATAAGCCAAAACATGTAATTAATGATAACGGATAACAAATACATTTACATAATAACCAACATAAAAGGCATACTGGAGTAAGAAATTAGAAAAATATTACATCGAGAAGAAGAATAAAATGATAAACGAAGAGTCATAGCTCTCTACTTCACAAAGAGTGTACATTCAGAGAATGACATGTTTTGTGAGGCTTTGTTTGCTATAATGAAAAATGGATCTGGTGCCGGCATGTGGTATATTGGGTAAAGCCGCAGCCTGAAGTGCCGGCATCCCATATGGGTGCCAGTTCGAGTCCCAGCTGCTCCACTTCTGATCCAGCTCTATGCTATAGCCTGGAAAGTAGTGGAAGATAGTCCAAGTCCTTGGGTCCCTGCACCCACGTGGGAGACCCGGAAGAAGCTCCTGGCTCCTGGCTTCGGATCAGCACAGCTCCAGCAGTTGTGCCCAATTGGGGATGGAAGACATTTCTCCCTCTCTCTCTCTCTGCCTCTCCTTCTCTCTCTATGTAACTCTGACTTTCAAATAAATAAATAAGTCTTCAAAAAAAACAAAAAAAATTGATTTAGGAGTAACCTCCCTGACTAAATGAATATAGCGAGGATCCAACACCAACCTCTGTGAGACAGTGCTAAAAACTATGAAGGAGGCAGCACAGGTAAGAAAATAAGAAAAGAGAAACAAAAACAAGTTTTTCTGAGGCAGTAATTGTTTCAATCAACTTTTTTTTTTTAATTTATTTGACAAGTAAGTTATAGACAGTGAGAGAGAGAGAGACAGAGAGAAAGGTCTTCCTTCCGTTGGTTCACTCCCCAAATGGCCGCTGTAGCCGGCACTGTGCAGATCCGAAGCCAGGAGCCAGGTGCTTCCTCCTGGTCTCCCATGCGGGTGCAGGGCCCAAGCACTTGGGCCATCCTCCACTGCCTTCCTGGGCCACAGCAGAGAGCTGGACTGGAAGAGGAGCAACCGGGACTAGAACCCAGCACCCATATTGGATGCCAGTGCCGCAGGCAGAGGATTAACCAAGTGAGCCAGGAGCCGGCCCCTCAATCAACTTTTAATTGACTATAAACTATAGTTACCACATCAAAAATATCTTTAAAAAACTCAATGCATTTAAATGGAAGCATTAACGTATTGCCATGAATTTGGAGAGTATGTATGTATTATGCCCCACAAACAAGCCCATAATTTGAACGATAAACTTACTTTAGAAAAACTTTCATAAATGAAAATCACAGTCATTTTAGAAAAGTTTGCTTAAACTTTTTACATGAGTTCATGATTTATAGTAAACCAATCCAATGCCATGTACTTAAGCATTAAAATTTAATTCTGTTCCATCTGAAACTTCTCAATGGATGCTTCTAAAAGATTCACATTCTTTTTTCTATAATTTTGCAAATGTGTTTCGTCAAAAGCAAGATAACTAACTACCATTACAGTGCTATAAAGTTCCATAAACATAAATTAAAATCATTTAAGTTTGGATGAGTATTTTTATTTCCTAGTATATTAAGGCAAGTTGAGTTCTGCAATTTAAATTATATGTGAAGGATAAAGTAAGAAAGAGACTGTGTTCCATTTGGAAGTTAGAGACAGATACAATGAAGATGGCCGGCACCACAGCTCACTAGGCTAATCCTCCGCCTGCGGTGCCGGCACACCGGGTTCTAGTCCCGGTTGGGGCGCCGGATTCTGTCCTGGTTGCCCCTCTTCCAGGCCCAGGAGCGCAGTGGAGGATGGCCCAAGTCCTTGGGCCCTGCACCCGCATGGGAGACCAGGAGGAAGCACCTGGCTCATGGCTTCGGATCGGCACAGCGCGCCAGCCATAGCGGCCATTTTGGGGGTGAACCAGCGGAAAAGGAAGACCTTTCTCTCTGTCTCTCTCTCACTGTCAAACTCTGTCTGTCCAAAAAAAAAAAAAAAAAAGAAAGAAAAGAAACAACAAAGAGACTGTGTTTGAACTGGAAATTAAAAGATAAGAGGAATTTTCACTAGTTGCAGAGTCGAGAGAGAATAAGAGTAGAATCAAGATGATCTTGAGAATTCCAGCTCAAGGTAAAAGAACAAATCCAATTATTCCTTCAGCAAATTCAAAGCTACAGCAGTGATCAGAGTGAAGTCCTTGCCCTCATGAAGACTGCATTATGAGAGACAAAAAATAAACAAAGTCACAGTGCCAAGGCAGAGAGAGATAACTACTATGAGAAAAAAGCAGAGAGGGTGACAAAGGAATACCAGAAACCCAAATGATGTGAATAAGCAAACCACTCAATTCCCTAACAGGCAAAAAAAACCTCGCCCTTGGAAGGGGGCTTCCCCTGGTATGCTGCAGGAAGGACAAGAAGGGACCATGGTAGTGAGTACAGGGAGGGGAGAGTAACAGAAGATGAGGAATACAAATGCCGTATCCGTTAGGGTCTAAAAGGTCATGGCAAGGAGTCCATGTTTGTTGTGCAGGCAGAGAAGCAATGGCAGGTTCAGAGGCAGTGAAGTGGCATAACCTGATATGGTATTTTCTGCAAGCTGTGCGAAAAACAGGCTACAAAGAAGCAAGAGTGGAAGCCAGCAGACTACTTGGGAGTTTACAGTAGGAACCTAAAAAAGGGGTGATGATGATTTAGACTAAGGAAATAATGGGGGGAGGATGAGAAATATCCACATTAAGACAATTCTTCAGATAACAGCATCTTGGGCATCCATTCATTTGTGTACTCAACAAATAGTTTTAGAATTTCTACTGTGTACAGATACAGAGCAGTAAACATAATCCTTATGAAACACTCAATCCAAGGGTAAGATACATTTATAATTTCAATGTAGTAAGACAAATGCAATGATTGGCAAGTATGGGGAGCTATGAGATAGCAGGAGGAACTAAGCTCATCTGTGAGCCAGGTGACGTCATCTAAGTATGACAATAATTTAACCACGATAAGAGGAGTCAGAGCTTAAATTCCAAGCATAGGAACAACACATGTGACAACCCAGGGATGATGCAGACCTGAAAAAAGAAACCTGGAATGGGTGGCATGGGTAGCTTGAGAAAGAAGAGGTTTAAAATGGACTCAGATAAGTAAGTGTGGGACAGATTCCAAATGACATCAACAAAGTATGTGGGTTTCTTTCCGTAAAGACAGTAAGAAACCAGTGATTGGTTTTAAGTAAATAAATTACATAGGCAACTTCATATTTGAATATGATAAGTTTGAGTGATGTGGAGAATGGATCAGGGAAACAACTTTCCTTTCCAGTAATGACCACCAGGGAAATTCAGAAAATCCCATGCCACAGTTAACTGAAAATGACAAATAACATATATTTTAAACATCCTACACCATCAAAGAGCTATCAAAATAGCAAAGAAGTGCCAGAGAAAAACTCAAGCTAAGGCTGGAACACAGAGTAGTAAGAGGATCTCAGAAATGATTTCTCACTTGTAAAGATTTGACTCTGATCTTTAACCTCCATAGAGAAAAGGAGTGAAATCAAAGTATGTGGCCCACCTAAAATCTAAGATCCTTTCCACATTAATCTGGAACCCTAATGTTACACCCCCATAACAGGGTTAAGCCAGAGGTGAATTTGTGGTTCACAATCCCATCATTTTCTTAGCCTAGAAGCATTAAGCATGAATTAAAGCAGATCTGGCATGCCATTACCACCACAGATACCAAAAGGCACCTGACCAAATTCAATAGCCTCCCGTATTACTTAAGGTTCAAAAATCCTATTAATGAGTACTTCTGCAATATGACTTTTTTTTTTTTTGACAGGCAGAGTTAGACAATGAGAGAGAGAGGCAGAGAGAAAGGTCTTCCTTTTCCATTGGTTCACCCCCAAAGTGGCCACTACGGCCGGCGTGCTGCGCCCATCCGAAGCCAGGAGCCAGGTGCTTCCTCCTGGTCTCCCATGCGGGTGCAGGGCCCAAGGACTTGGGCCATCCTCCATTGTCCTTCTGGGCCACATCAGAGAGCTGGACTGGAAGAGGAGCAACCGGGACAGAATCCGGCGCCCAGACCGGGACTAGAACCCAGGGGACCCCAGCACCACAGGTGGAGGATCAGCCTAGTGAGCCAAGGCGCCGGCCAATTTGACTTTTGTATACCATAATCACAACATCAAAGGGAAAGCACTAGAAGCAGCTCCTCTAACTTAAAATACAAGATGTGTTGGGGCTAGTGCTGTGGCACAGTGGGTTAACCCCCTGGCCTGTAGTGCCTGTATCCCATATGGGCACCGGTTCTAGTCTGGGCTGCTCCACTTCCAATCCAGCTCTTTGCTATGGCCTGGGAAAGCAGTAGAAGATGGCCCTAGTCCTTGGGCCCCTACACCTGCATGGGAGACTCAGAAGAAGCTCCTGGCTCCTGGCTTTGGATCGGCACAGCTCTAGCCGTTGCGGCCAATTGGGGAGTGAACCAACGAATGGAAGATCTCTCTCTCTCTCTCTGCCTCTCCTCTCTCTCTCTGTGTAACTCTGACTTTCAAAAAAAAACAACAACAACAACAACAAGATGTGTTTTCCAAGGTCACCATATGTAGTTTACATTAGGTAAGAGGAAGATATTAAATGCATATCAATTGCAAAGGAAAAGGCAAAAAAAAAAAACCTATATTTACCTAGAAACCCCAAGCAAATTACCATAAAACAGTAAGAGAGTTCAATAAAGTAGAAATAATAATATATAAAAATCACTAGTCTTCATATCAATGAACAAAACCAGTTAGATAAGAAACCATTTTCAAAACAATAAAAAGAATGCCAAATTTAAGAGGAACTATGCCAAACCTATTGAAGAAAAACCTGAAAACATTTCTCAAGGACATTTCTCTTCCAGTCCAGCATGAAAGAGAAGGGGAAAATAGACTTGTACCAAAAAAGAGAAGAAAAAGTACACTATTTTGGATATTTCAGAATATTCATAAAATTCATTACAATAAGAGGAATTGATTTCAGCGATAGTGGAGCAATTTACAAAGTGACATACATATGTCAATTCTAAATTACATTAAAATTTTTATGAGCCAAATAAAAATCCCAACAAAATGTTTTCTAGCATTAAGCAAGTTGATTCAAAAGGCTATGAGAAGAAATTTTAAAAAGAATATACAGCCGGCGCCGCGGCTCACTAGGCTAATCCTCCGCCTAGCGGCGCCGGCACACCGGGTTCTAGTCCCGGTCGGGGCGCCGGATTCTGTCCCGGTTGCCCCTCTTCCAGGCCAGCTCTCTGCTGTGGCCAGGGAGTGCAATGGAGGATGGCCCAGGTGCTTGGGCCCTGCACCCCATGGGAGACCAGGAAAAGCACCTGGCTCCTGGCTCCTGCCATCGGATCAGCGCGGTGCGCCGGCCGCACTGTTCTGGCGCGGCGGCCATTGGAGGGTGAACCAACGGCAAAGGAAGACCTTTCTCTCTGTCTCTCTCTCTCACTGTCCACTCTGTCTGTTAAAAAAAAAAAAAAAAAAGAATATACAGAAAAGGTATGAAAAAGAGAAATGAAGGGTTATTAGTCTTAGCAGGTTTTAAAATCTCCTATAAAGTCTCAATAATTAAAACAATATAGCATCAATATATAAATAGGCTAGATGCATTAATTGGAAAGGAAGAAGTAAAACTATTTCTATTTCCATTTAATATGATGCCATATAGTCCATAAAGATTTTTGTTCCACCCATCAATTATTTATGAACATTTCTGTTTATCCACATTCTTGCCTACTCAGCATGGTGTCCAACCATTGGATGTTTGCCATCCCCACAGGCTGAAATGACATTTCAATGTGGTTTTTAATGCATCTTTCCTTCTGATGAGTGAAGATAACTTATTCCTTATATTGTAAAAGGCATTTTATGACTTTATGGGAGTTTTTCATGGCCATAATCCCAGTGAACTTTTCTTTCTTGATTTATACGAAGTCTTTACATATTACATTAGCCTTTTAAAATATAATCTGTAAACATTTTTATCAACTACATTTTGATACTGCTTTTTATGTTTTTGCTTGGCTTGTTTTGTTACCACGGACAACTACGTACATGTACATTTATATAATTTATTTTTTATAAATTGTCCATTGAAATCTGACTCATAAATAGGCTTTCTTGATTCCTAATCTAGTAATAATCCATCAAGTTTTCCTCTATTATATATATGGTATCACATTTTACACTTAGATCTTATATCTACTTAGAGCTTTCTATGGTATTCTGCATGAAGTATAGATTGAATATTATATTTTGGCAAAATACTGCCTAGTTCAAGGTCATTACTATATAATGTCTTACACTAATAAATATGTGTATCTTTAATGATGTGATAGGTCACCTGCCATACCTATCTAGTCATATACAACCTTTATGGAAGGAGGGGCACTACCTACCAAAACTACCCAGCCATTCACACATTTATTTGTCAATTCCACTTCCGGTTATAAATTCTACTGATATACCTGTCCGTATAAGAAATTATATATATTTATGCTTACTGACTATGACAGTATTTGTGACACACGTAAAATGATCTACCAGGTATCTTTTAATGCAGACTCAATGGCATTTAATGGTGTACTGGGGAGGAGAGCAGTGAGGGAAGAAACGTAAGCTACCAGACTTTGTATTTGAGGGACAGGTGTATAGTCGTGTCAAGTACTGAAATACAAGACACTAAAAGAAAAAATCTTTAGAACATAATAAATGTTGTGCCGCACACATAGTAGGTACCGACATAAAAGGACCTACTGAGGGAAGTTATGGGGGGGGCCATTGTAATCCATAAACTGTACTTTGGAAATTTATATTTCCTAAATAAAAGTTAAAAAAATACTGTTCAATAATTGCATCTCAACTCACATTAGAAATTGAGGATTTGTTGCATCTGTGTAGTAGTTTAAGTAATGAAAGGGATGAAACGGCCTGAGTAATGGTTATACATTGCAAGGGTCAAGACTTAGAAAAAAGTCCCAAGGAAAACCAGCATTAAAGAGAAAGAAAAATCAATCAAATTCATAGAAGCAGAAAAAAGCACAGTGTTTGCCAGATATGCTGGGGGAGGGAGAAAACAGGAGCTGCTGTCCAACAGGTATAAAGCTTCAGCAATGCAAGATGAAAAAAGCTCCGGAGATAGGCTACACAACACAGTGCTTACAGTGAACAGGCTGTACTAAACACTTAGAAATGTGCTAGGAGGATAGAGCTCACACTTTGAATACCATTTGTATCACAATGGGAAAAAAAGCTGGAGAAAAAGAAAACTAGATGGGGAATCAAATTCAGAATATTCAGAAAGTTCATAACAACAAGAGGAACTGATTTCAGGAATAATGGTGCAATTTACAAAGTGCCATTGTACAAAGAATGAAAAATGGCATTGGGATTTGGTAAAGGAAATCCTTGGTGACCAGAGGGAGACACAAGTCATTAGGGGTTCCGGGAGAAGGCAGCACTCAGGTGCCGAAGACCTGTAATGAGGTGAGGCAATATTAGGAAGCAGGAAGAAGCTGATTTATGGGATAATGAAGGATCCCTTGGGTGTATGGGAAAGAGGTAAGGTAAAGGCTGCCCCACCCTCAGAGTCATCCTTAGTTAATATAATACACTTGGATAGTCTTTGCACATTTCTCACACTGAGGCTCACAACCACAACCACCACCAGCGGCTGGCTGCACAGGCTTTGCACAGGCCAGAGCCACACAGCAACTGGGGACATTCAGTTTCCTGTTAGCAAGGTGCATGCACAGATACAGACTAGAGCCACAGAGCAACTGGGGGCTTGCCACCAAGTCTCCGGCTAGCCAGGCCCAGCGCGCCTCGGCTCTCTACCTGCCTCCCGGACTCTCAAACCCTGAGGCCCAGGAAGTCTAAGAAATCACTCGCATTTGCCTTTCTGGGAGGATACGCAGCGCGTATACACAGATCAATGAGATTCACGCCCTTTCCTTCCAAGAATATGGGCCAATGATTTAGAAAGAGAAGGCAGCTTTCTAAGAACCTAACCATAATTCTTAGTCACCCCAACATATTTGTGGCCGTTATTTGCTCCGTTCTCAGTTTCCTCCACAATAAAATGTTAACTGCCCCGTACTTGGCTGGCGCCTTGCCTGCTATGAATCTGACCTGAAAATTAACGGCTTGGGAAGGGCGCGCTAATAATGGTGACGACGGCAATGTCGTGACTTTAGAAAGGTAGGAGAGGGGACAGTCTGGAGTGTTCCGACCCCGGGTCCCCCACCGGCTCCAGGGCTCCTCCGGCTGCCGTTCGCGAGTTCCTCCCCTCGTCCTCCGGAGCTGAACCCGCGCCCAGCACCGGAGGCTCCGCGGACATGGGCGCCGTGGGGCTGAACACCCATTTCTCTTTTCCCAGAAGACCTGGGAAATCCGATCTGGGCCACCTTTGATCCCCACGCCCGCCCCACCCCCAGGCTTTCCCCCACAATGGAGTCCCGCGCCTACTGCCTTTCCCAGCGAGATCCGACCTTTTCCCCTCGGGAGGGGGCTGCCTCGCCCGGAAGACCACCCATTTGGTTCCCAGATCCTGGGAGGGGCCGTCGCTGTGGAGCTCCTTAAAGTGGGAAAGAAGCTGGGGCAGGGGACAGCGTAGGGGCTGGGGGTCGCAGAAAAATCCAGAAACCTCCAGGGGCGGGCAAGAAGTCAGGACCGGGACGACCCCTCCCATCCAAATTTATCGGGGACGGAAGCCCCACACCCCAACAATGGAAACTACTCAGAGGGTCACCTACGGCCCGCCCACCTCCGGACTTCAGAAGCAGAGTCGAATTCCCATCCCCCATTCCTTGAACCTCCTCACCCCAAGATCAATCAATCAAGGCACACCAAGATAAATCCTACAAAAGCTTGTGCCCAAGGACCCCCGCTTTCGGTCCTGTCCGCCCCGCGGCGCCCCCTTCCCGTACCCGGAGCCCAGCAGAGGCAGAGGTGGGCGAAAGTTGTTCGCCAGCACCAGCGAGGGGCGCGGAGGAGCAGCCGGGCGCACCCAGCTCCCCGGCGCGTACCCAGAGGCCACGGTTTTGGAGGCGCGTCCACCGCCCGCGCCTCTACCTCAGTCCGCCCGCGCAAAGTTGTATCTGCGGAGACACCCGCCAAGCTCCCGCCTCGGGATCTCGACCGTCTTCCAAGGCGCCCCCACCCCACCCCCACAACTTCATCCTCGGCCACCCCGAGGCTCCAGAACCCCGGGCTTGGCCCGCCACTGCCCCCACCCCCAAGCCTGCTCCCTCAGCTGCTCCCCTCTCCCCCCACCCCGCGATCGGGTGCACTCGGTGCCCGGAGCAGGTGGCCCCACGGCGGCGCTCACCGTGAGGGTCAGCAGGAGCTGCCGGCAGAGGACTCCGCTCCGGGAGCCCGCGGGTCGTGCTGCCGCCATGGAGCCGGTTCGGGAGCAGGTCGCCGGCCGGGGCACCTGGAGGCCAGCCGGGGTGGAAGGGCGCGGCGGGGCGAAAGGCCGCGCGGCCGGGGAGCAGGCTGGGCCCGCGGCGCCGCAGGAGTGCGAGGCCGAGGAGGTGGAGCGCGCGGAGAGGCGCTTTTCTTCTCCGTTTCTCTGAAGCGCCTGCCGCTCACCCAAGGGGCTTTTCCTCTGGCCGAGGGTGGGGCTCAGGCGCGTCCAAAGACACCGACGAGCCCCTCCTAGCTGTTTTCTTAAGACTCCATTTCTTCACAGGGCGACAGGTGGGAACTCCCTCTCGCCGCCACCCTTCTCCCCGCGCTAGGTGTTTCTCACCGGCGGACGCCACCTATATGCCCCATCTCCCCCGCCCCGGTGTCCGCCTGGCAGGCCCAGCCGCTGGCCCTGCCCCGCAGAAGCCCTGACTGTACTAAGACTCACCCCGGAGCGCCGGCCGCCGGCCCCGCCCAGGCCGCAACCCTACGCAGGCTGAGGTCCCTGCCCTGCGGGCAGTGACAGACCTGGGACTACCCGCCCAGAGCTGTGGAGGCTGCGTTTTCTGTCCCAGCTGCCTAGGGTCCACTCGGTAGAAGGTTGATTTTACACACTCTCCACTGGGTAATGTGTCCCAGAGACATCTAAATACAGTTCGCACAACTTTTTTTTATTATTTTCTTTAAAGTCTTCTCTTTTTTAGGAATGCCTTGGTCGGTATGAAAAGGATCAAGAAAATAATCGTAATTTAGGGGCAGAAATGAAAAGAAATTGGAGACTCTCATCTAAGGGAAATAACAAAACCAAGGGTGCGTTGCTACGTAGAATGCACCCGATCCATGGCCCAACCTCAGCTACCGATTCTCTCCAAGAAGCTTCCTTGTCACAAACAAGGCCAACCACAGGCCGCCTTGCAACTTGTCTCTTAGTTGGGCCCCTGAACCTCTCCTGATAGAGGTTTTTCTTTCTTGACTTCCAGTGAAATCAGAGTGAGAAGGGAAAAGAATGGGATAGTTTACATTTTGATTACAAGTGCACTTGGAACTGGACAAATGACTACAGCACGGAGCCTGGATTTCTAAAATGCAAAAGCTGTGTGTCCAGAAAGCAATGACATGGCATTCTGACTCATCCTCCTGCACTTCTTCTCAATTACTGACTTAAAGCAGGCATGCCTGACCACAAAGGAGAAACTCGTCTCTTCCACTTTGTTTGGCTTAAGCCTCTTCAGGGATGTTTGGAGAAACCCGTTTGGGAAAACCAACCATGACATTCACATCACTTCATTTCTTGAAAACATTTACAATCTTCACCATTACACACAGAGCCATATTTAAGCATATATTTAAATTCAAAACTAATGTCCAACAGCGAAGGGCTTACGTTCTCTGTATTACTCCTAGGTTCTGTTGGATTAGCGAATGCCATAGTGAGCTGTTCTATTGTCTCCATGCCCATAAAATTATCACTGAGCCTTCTGCTAGTAAAATGGGCCTGGGTCATCATCATGAGACTAATGTTGACATCCTTCCATTTCCATTTTTTTTTAACTGTCATGTTTTTCCACTAATGGTTTCAATAAGCACACTTCATCCTGTTAATGATGGCATCGTGATTTCTAATGTGAAGCTTTTCAGAGAACAGAGAAGCAAGCTGGTTTCAGATTCCAGAAATCTACTCAGACTGTCATCATAGCCTTGGACAATAGGATGTTTCCAAACTCTTGTCTACCCTTATAACATCTAATGCCTTTAGGGTGGCTCATGCTTTTCCTCATTCCAGAATGAGACAGAAGTGAAATTTGACAAGAATTCAGTTTAGATGTTGTCATCTTTCACACTAGTCAACCAATTGAAACTAGCAAAATGATGATTTTTGTTTGTTTACCTAAGAAATATAAGCCCTTACCCTAAATATATGGTTCCATTTATTTAATCTAGTTACACTACAAGTGTACTTCAAAAAGTTTGTAGAAAATGGAATTTTATTTAAAATAAAAGAAGTTTATTTTTGGTATAAAAATGTGAAATTTCTGCAGATTTTTTTATAATATGAATTTTCATGAGTTTTTTAAATACTCCTGAATATCTCTGAAGTGGATTTCTCAATAAAATAGGTTTGAAGCAATAGGCTATGTCTAAAGAGACAATGAACTGTGGGTAGATGTGAATATGATTTCCTTGGCTTGACCTGATTCTCCACTGTGCCAACATAAAAGGTGCACAAGGCCAAATGCAAATAGCAACTTTACGTCTTGTGTTGCTCCAGTATTTATTTTATGATAAAATGGTACTGGATGCTATCTATTATACCTTCCGCATCTAACATCAAACTATTCAGACTTCTTATGATAATTTTTTTAGAAACTTGGCTAGTAATTGGTCTTCATTTCAGAGTTATCATAGAAGACTGAAACATAATGGTCCTTAGAGATAAATACAAAACACCCCCAGCCCATGGACCCAATCTAGCCAGCCCAGCTTCACAATTTTCTAATTTCAGAGGCCAGAAGCTAATCACATTAAAGGCAACACACACAAAAAATCCCCCATACTGATACACACATGGAGATGGGCTTCCCTGAGCTGGGGTATTCCTGCCTAATCTTCCCTCTGCCAGGGGGTGAGGAGGAGGGACCCCCATGGACAGAGGTGATCTTGTAGAGAAATCCATCTTGGAGTCAGGTATGGCAGAAAGGAACTCAAAAACAAGGGCAACCCAGGCTTCATGGGGAAAAACAAAAAAGAGATGAAAGGACATTGTCTGGTTACTTTATAAGTGGGAGTAGGGAGAAAAATATCTCTTAAACACAATAAAATGGGTACAATTAGAATGTTTACTGCTCCAGGCCAGCAGGTCAAGCCACAACCTGCAATGCCAACCCCTCATATGGGCACTGGTTCAAGTCCTGGCATCTCTACTTCTGATCCAACTGCCTGCTAATGTGCCTTGGAAAGCAGGAGAGGATGGACAATGTCTTGGGCCCCTGAACACCCATGTGGAGTTCCAGACTTCTGGCTTCAGCTTGACCCAGCTCTAAGCCATTGTGGCTATTTGGGGAGTGACTCAGTAAATGGAAGATCTCTCTCTAAAAAAAAAAAAAAAAAAAAAAAAAAAAAGTGTTTACTGCTCAGAGTTATGGCATTGAGTAATGAGGTGATGCATGGAAGATATGCAAGCTGGACACATTCGAAGTGCTCAGATATTGTTAACATCCCTCTTCCCCACACTGTACACACTATTCCACATGTCTGTGACCCATGCGTATCACCTACTTCACCTCAGTCCTTTTTTGTTTCTTTTTTTATTAAAATATTTTATTGACATACATACCAAGAGATGCACATAAATGTGCAGATAAATGAGTGTTTGTCTTCTGAGCATACTCATAATCAACACCCAAATTAAACAAAACATTACTAGTACACCAAGAGTCCTGCTCCATTCCCCTTCACTTCTTTGGTTTTCAGTGTGGGGAAAGAAGAGTGTATTGTCATTTACATGATAGGATTCAGCAAAGCAGAGTCTATAACTAAATACCAAAAGATATGACATCCACACAATATTTATACTCTTTCTAAATATTAATTTTTGAAATAGAAAACATATTTGTCTTTCTTAGTCTGGCTTATTTCACTTAGCATAATGATCTCCAGTTTCATCCATTTGGTTGCAAATATCAAGATTTCATTGTTTTCTTTTTAGACCTTTATTTATTTAGTTAAAAGGCAGAGTTACAGAAAGAGAAGGAGAGGCAGAGAAATTTATCTTCCATCCACTGGTTCACTCCCCAAATGGCAGCAACACCCAGGGTTGGGCCAGGACAAAGTCAGGAACCTGGAATTCCATCCAGGGTTCCTACATCTATGGCAGGAGCCCGAGGGCCTGGGCCATGCTCCACTGCTTTCTCAGGCACATTAGCAAGGAGCTGGATCAGAAGGGGAGCATCTAGGACCTGAACTTATAGTCTGTGGCTTAACCTGCTGCACCACAACACTGGCCCCAGGATTTCATTCTGCTTTAGGCTGAGTAATATTCCATTGTGTACACATACCACAATTTCCTTATCCAATCATCAGTTGATGGACATCTAGCTTGACTCCGTATCTTGGCTATTTTGAATTGAACTGCTAGAAGCATGAGAGTGTAGGTATCTCTTTCATATGTTGATCTCATTCCTTTGGATATATTCCTAGTACTGGGAAAACTGTGTCATATGGTAGATCTAATTTTAGTTTTCTGAGAAACCTCCATACTATTTTCCATAATGGTTGCTACCAGTTTGCATTCCTACCAACAGTGCATTGGGGTACCTTTTTCTCCACAACCCTACCCGCATTTGTTATTCTTTTCATTTTTGGATGAGAGCCATTCTAACTGGAGTGAGTTGATACCACATTGTGGTTTTTATTTGCATTTTCTTGAATGGAGGAGTGCATGGGTACATACTATTTATATAAGCTATAGTTTCAGCTTCTCTTATTATTCCTCTTAGTTCTGCTCATTTTCTCTTGAATATACAGACTCTGCCTCTACAGTATCTCTAAGCTTGAGGGAAATTGATATGTCCAGCTCTTCACTTTATTTCTAAAAGGTCATAAACATTCATCTAACCATACCTTCTCGATGGATTGGGCAACCGTCTCCTCCCATTTTGACTGATTGTTTGGTCTTTGAAGTAAAAGCTGTATCTAGAACATGTATGGCTCCAGGACTTTTTTGTTCCTTTCCACAATTTTACCTTTTGGAGGTATCTCATTTCCTAGGAAGTGATGTATAAATTCCCAGTCTACTTCTTAATGTGGAGTTAACAGTTAGTGAAGAGTTGTAGTAGGATAAAGAGTATTAGTATTGGGTAAAAGGTAATAAGAGTTTTACTGATCTGATCAATATTTTCTCAGTGGCTTGCAAGAATAAACCATTTCTTCTTCTCTCACAATGGAGATAACAATAAACTGCTTCCAGCAATTTTAGTGGGTCTTAATTTTAATTCAATGTAGTTCAGTGAAGTCCTTATCAGACTTGTAACATACAAAACTATAAGATAGTAAATATGTGTAATTTAAGCCACTAGCTGTTTAATAATTTGTTACAGCAGCAATAGAAAACTAACATGTAGATAATCATCCTGAAAACTCTAGTCGTAGACTGGTCATTTGACCTAGTGGCTAAGACACAGATTAGGACATCTGCATCCCATATCTGAGTACCCGGCTTAGAGTCCCGGCTCCACTCCCGATTTCAGCTTCCTGCTAATGTGAACCCCGGGAAGCAGCAGTGATAGTTCAAGTAGTTGGGTCCTGACACCCATGTGGGAAACTGGATTAGGTTCCCAGCTCCGGGCTTAGTCTTGGCCCATCCCTGACCATTGCAGGCATTTAGGGAATGAAACAGCAGAAGGGTACACTGTCTTGCTGTCATAATCTGAAACAAACAAACATTA